TCTGCAGGTGGCTTGTGTTAACCCTGATATTTGATTGGGCTCCTCCACAGGACGCACTGAGCCAAGTTGCTTGTGAACATCTCACTGCAAGTTCATATCAATCCTAGAAACCCTGTACTCATATCCCACCTTGCATAACAAGGAGCTGCAAACACACTGTAAATGTATTTGGTGACTGAGGCTTATGACGTTTAAATAACTTGCCCAAACACAGCGAGTTTCCCGTAAGGGCAGAATTGAGCCCCACATCTGTCTCCAGTCTCCTCCTCAGTGTCATCCTTGCCCACGGTCTGTCCTGGGGCTGCTACCAGGCTCAGTCCTCACACTCTAGAACATTACCTGACTGCTTTGCTTGTAGTTCTTCATAGTTACCGGAGCTACATAGTGATGCCATTCTTATTTAATAGCTAAGGAGCCCGAGGCTCGGAGAAGGTAGGGCCACTTCCTAGTGTCACACAGCCTGTGAGGGGACAGGGGTGTTGGACCCAGCCCGAGTGATGCCAAAGCCCAGAGGCCACGTGTGAAGACAGATGGTCTCACCCTGGACCCATAGTCATACGGATTAGAACTGGTACCCTCTCCGGCTGCTGCACTGGCACGCTTGGCACCCCCCCCCCCAATTCAAGCGATGTCACCACAGCTTCTTGACATTCCTCAAAACCCAGCTGCCCTCTGGTGAGAGCTCCCACACTTACCTGGTGATGCCACCTTAGTCCCGACTGAACTGCTCTCCCAAGTCTAATCTGGAGCAGTGGCCTAGTCAGAACAGTGCCTAGGTCAGGCTCCGACTAGAGAGGAGGGAGTTGGCTGGAGGCTTGTGGTGTGTGTTCGTTTGTTTTTGGAGAGCTGGAAGGCCAGGTGCAGACCCAGGCCCTGGCACATGTTGGGGAATTGCTCTCCTGCTGAGCCACATTCCCAGACCCTAGAGTTTCATTTGGAATCTATCTAAGACTCCCTGCCCCACACCGCCCCCCCTTCTGTCCCCTTTAAGGAATAGACCCTGCCAGGCATGGTGCACAGCTGTAACCCAGCACTGGGAGCAGTTCCAGGACCAGGAGGCAACACTACTGGGGGAGGCCTTCTCTGTTGGTAATAGGCAGAACAGTGCCCCTGTGTCTGCAGCCTCATCCCTGGGAAACAGCAAGTCATGTCACATGGCAAGGGGGGACTAAGGCGGCAGGTGGTATTAAGGTTGCTGTCTCAAAATTTAAAACAACAGAACAAAACAGACTCAGAAAGTACTGGAGATATCGCTCTAAGTTAAAGCCCTGGGCTCAATTCTCAGTACTGAAGAGAGAAAGAAAATAGGGGGGCTTACTGAGGGGAGAGGGAGAGGGAGGAGGAGGAGGAGGAGGAGAGAAAGGAAGAGTGAGGATGAAGAGAATGAATGAGGGGGAGATGACGCAGGCCTGCAATCTTGAGTACTCAGGGAGGCTGAGGCAAGAGGGTAAAATTTGTTTGTTTCATGGGCTGGGCATGTAGCTCAGTGGCATCATGCCTGCCTCACAAGTGCAAAGTCCTGAGTTTGATCCCATACTAAAAAAAATTTTGTTTCTTTTCCTTTTTTTTTTTTTTCAGTACTGGGAATTGAACTCGGGCCTTGGGCTTTCCAGGCAGGCATGGCGCCCCTAAGCTATATCCCCAGCAAGAGGATCAAATTTCAAGCCCAGCCTTAATAAGACCCTATCACAAATTGAAACATAAAAAGGACTGGGGATGTAGCTCAGTGCAAAGGCCTTAGGTTCAGTTCCCAGTATCACCAAAAGCAAAACAAAACAAAAAGAGCTGGGGCTGGGGATTTAGCTCAGTGGTTCCGGCACCTGCTGTCTGCCTCACAAGCAAAAAAGTCCCGAGTTTGATCCCCAGCACCAAAAAAAAAAAAAAAGCTGTCCTGGTGAGCCTGTTGTGATCACAAGGGCCTTTAAAGGTGGACAAGGTGGTTGAAGTGTCCCAGGGATGCCCTGTAGGTGAGGCTTGGGCAGCCAGTGTGGGCTTTGAAGGTGGAAGGGGGTCACGAGCAAGGATGTGGTCAGCCCCCAGAAGCTGCGAAGAGTGGGCAGGAGGGTCACCCGACAGCCTCCAGGAATGGGCACAGTGCTGCTGGCATTCTGACTGAGATGCATCTCGGTCTTCACCCCTCCAGATTTTCGGGGTACCACACTTCATTCTCAGCAAAGTGGTTCTTAGAGGTAGGTTGTTCTGTGCTTAGCTTTTGGGTGCTTTAGGGTGAAGCTACTCAGTACTTCAGCCGTGTGCATTGTACTGGTTTGGGTCAGCACTGGGGACCAAGGCGAGTCAAGCCCAGGACTTGGTTCTCCATTCCATTGGAAGGAAGCGTTTCCTTTCCCCAGGTCTGAATCCTGGAAGAATGCATTCTGGGTCGTGAGGGAAAGGGGGCCTGCCTGAGTGTGGAAGGACAGACCTGCTCCAGGGCACAAAGAAAGAAATGACATCCTGATGGCACTGAGCCACCCAGGTCAAAAATTCCTGTATTGTTAGGCTAGTTTGAGTGGTCTCTTGGATCAGTGATACACACCCAAATATCCACACCCACATTCCCATGAACTTCTTATGAAACATTTAAAAATTCAGCAATCCGAGTGGCTTTTGTTTTGTTTTTCCTGTTTCTTTCTTTCTTTCTTTTTTTTTTTTTTGGTACCAGGGATCAAACTCGGGCCTAAGCATTCTTACTTTTGACCAGATTCAGACTTGGAAGTAGACGCTCTCAGAGAGGACAGCCTGTATCCCTTGGCAGTTTGTTCCTGGCTTTTTTCTCTGGCTTCCTTTCTTCTCTTAGCTGGAAGTGTACATATTCTGCAGCCTCTTCCTTGTTTTTCTTTCTCTTTTTCTTTCTTTTTTCTTGGCCTTTATTCCTTGTTTTTCTCAGTATGCTGCTTTTTCAGAGCAATACAGCAGTGTCTGTGTTGAAGGACACATGGAGTACTAAGACGCTGAATCTTGAGTATCTTGGTCCTGAGTGTCTTAGCTTCCTTGCTTAAGGGCTTTCTGGCAGCATACTGACAGACACCATCTTTTTAGAGATTGAAGATTATGGATTCTGCTCGCTCTTTTGGGCTCCAGGCGGCGAGGTGCCTTAGTACGAGTCAATCCAGGAACATCTTTCTCTCCTTTTACAAGAGCCAAGTTGAGGGCCAGGGATTTAGCTCAGTGGTTCCGTTGCCTGCCTGGAAAGCCCAAGTTCCCCAGTTTGAGCCCCGGTACCAAAAAAAAAAAAAAAAAAAAGAACCAAGTTGAGGCTCTCAAGATTGGTGCCACAATGAAACCCCAAACAGATTCTTGCTTTCCTCTCTCCAGTTCTCTTTGGTCTGTAAGAGGAATGACCTTTACTCAGTAGCCAGCACACTGGGCCATGAGTCAAGACACCCTGCTTTACCGGGGAACCTTGTTTGTAGTCCCCACCACTGACGGAGAATGTCAGCAGCAACTTCTGTGGCCATACGCTTCTCAGAGTGTATGATGTTTATCTTCCTTGTCCACTTCAGTGAGTTCCCGGCAGCCAGTAGCTGGGAAGGAGCAGGGAAGGAGCTGCTCAGCTTCACCTTGAAGCTACTGATCGCCCTCCTGGTACCATGGCAAAGAGCTCCCGAGTGGGTTTTTTTTTTGTCTGTGTATGCATGTCTGTCCCAGGTCTCGGGACTCCAGCAGCACCCCAAGTCCCTTCCCAGTTAGCTCTGTGCTTGGCAATCACAAGAGAAATGAGAGATAATCACAGGTCCAGCCCTGGTATTGACATAAAGGAGTAACTGGTTACATCGTCTCTAAAATCAGAAGGCTGAGGGGCCTCAGAGAATCGTGTGCCCAGGGCCTTTCCTAAAGGGCACATCCAGGCCGTTGCTCTTCAGCCCTTCCAGTTTTCCCTCTGGCTCCCACGGAGGGCTGGGAGACTCAGGGTTGGCTTTGAAAGGAAAGTGCATCCTGGCAAGAGATGGAAGGGCAGGGGAAATTCCTTTAGCAAATTTACAAAGGACACAGCATGACAAACTCGAGGTTGGCAATGTGTGTTGTTTGATGGTTTTGAAACCTATCCAAGCTTCCAGACCAGTTGGGGGATGGACTGAGCCACACAAACTTGATTTGGGGCGAGGGTAAGAAGAGGAAACATTCCTGTTTCTTGTTGTGTGAAAGTCACTGGATCTCTGTTTTCTCATCTGTAAAGTGGGGATCATAGCCTCTACTTCCCAAGTGTAATGTGAGGACTCAACAGGAAGAGGCCTGTAGAATATTAAATGCAGTATAGGGCACATCGTCAGAGCTTAGAACTCCTTACATTTTACTCTTAGTATTGCTATTACTGTATTGGTGTTATTTTGAGACAGGGCCTCATTGTGCAGTTCAGGCCAGCCTGGAGCTCTGCATCCTCCAGTCTCAGGCTGGAGTGCTGGAATGGCAGCGCGTCTCGCTCGGTCAGCTGCATTATCGCTCCCTTAATGAGGAGCTTGGGCTATGACTGCTTACAGGCGGTAAGCAGACAGCCTGGTGCGCTCGTCTCCCCGCAGCAGCCTCGGCCCCTGTGGTCTGGATCCCCGTCCAGAGGGGCCCACAGTCCAGCCCCAGTGAACCCCAGGCAGTGCCGTTGTCACCTCCGTATCTGCCTCAGCTGTGCATCCAGGCCGACCTCAAGAAGGAGGCCCAGGTCTCTGGTCCTTTGACTTAGACAAGGACTGGGGAGGAGGGAGGAAGGGGAGTAACCAGAAAAGAAACGCGTTGACGTGGAGTTGAAAGAGAGGGTGAACCGGCCAGGAATCCAGGCCGCCTCAACCTATTCGAAAGCGCGCGCGCGTGCTTGTGTGTGTAAGGGCAAGCGCCCAAGACAAACATGGCGGCGATTCCCTCAGCGCGGTCACCTGCCGGAGTCAATCGCTGAGCGGGGAGGAGGGAAAGCCAGGGGAAACCCGGGGTGATGCGCGCAGGCGCAGTGACTCGCGCTTGGCTCTCCTCAACCACGGAATTGGGCTTCGCCTGCCAGGACTGCGGTGAGAGGCCGGTCCCGGGACTGGGCTCGCAGGCAGGCCGGGCCGGATTAGGGGCGATCTGACACAGACGACAAACCCACGGGGGGCAGGGATGCCTTCCGCCCTGGGAGTCGTGGGTCCTGGAGCTGATGAGGTTGTGGATCCGATGTGGGGTCAGGGCGGAAGAAGCTGGGCTGCAAGAGCAGCGGTGGAATCGCTGCAGAGGGCTCACCGGGGAGAGGAGAGGGAGCAGCGAGTCAGAGCTCCCTGGAGAACTTGGGTCCCCGGAAGCAAGGGTCAGGCTGGAGTCTTTTCATGGATGCAATGGCTTTTAACCCTGGTGGCGCAGTAGAAGCACTTGGGAGGCCCTGGGCTGCCCTAGGTGTTAGAGCGCCGCTCCTCAGGTGATTCTCACCTGTGGATGGGTGGAGATCCCGGCGGGAGTAAAGAGCTCCTGGCTGATCCCAACAACTTCGTGGCTTGGAAGGAGCCAGTGGTTTGGGGTGAAGCGCTAACCGGCCTGTGTCACTGTAGTGTCCAGTGAGGTGAAGGCTCATTTCCGGCCCGAGGGGGCTGGGATAGAGGGTTGGCGCCCCCAGCAACACCCCTCGAGCTGGGCCCTGCTGTGGCGAGAATGGGCAGGGAGAGGAGGCTCTGGAGTGAGAAACGGGACGCACAGCAAACAATTCAGAATCAGCCACTTGTTGAGAAAATTTGCTTTGTGCGCTACACCTGAAACTTTCCTCAGTTCATTTGATTCCCTGAGGACAGGCAGGGAATGGAGTTGTTTTTCTTTCTATTTTTGAGACAGGGTCTCACTGTGTACTCCATGCTGGTCTTGAACTCACTATGTAGCCCAGGCTAGTCTCAAACTAGCAGCGATCCTCCCGCCTCAGCCTCCCGAGTGCTGGGTTTACAGGCGGGTGTCATCATGCCCGGCTGGAGTTGTTTTTCTGGCTTCACAGATGTGGAAATAAACAGAGCTAGTCAGTGTTAATGTTCAGACCTGACCCAGGACTCCTCACTCCAAATTATGCTTATTAGTAGCATTTCCCCTCTGTACCAACTCGGAAGCAAACGCCCACCCTCCCTCTGACACCCTGCATTCTGGGGCCAAGTCTGATGTTCTTGGTTTCCTCCCCAGCACACACAACCTGAAGGTTGGTTCAATATGGAGGAGAGGCTGGTGTGCTGCTGCAGTCCTGGTCCTTTATCTCTCAGGAGCCTAATGGAATGAAGTGGGAGTTTTTACAGGTTGGCAGAAAGCTGGTTCCAAGCAGCTGAGACTGTCACCTCTCACCCAGTCAGTGTCCCTGGCCTCACTGTCCTCAGGACAGACTCTCTACTCTCCACCACTACCCTTTGCAGGTGCTCAGCTGCACTGTTTCTGGACTGTTTATTGCTCTTTGCTGTTAGCAGTGTCCCTCTTTGCACACCCGTGGCCTGGCTTTGCATGCTTTCTTCTGAGGGACACACCAAGCTTCCAGCTGCCTCGCCCCGGACCCCCAGAGCTGAGGCTCCCTCTGCAGTTTGAACCAGCAGGTATTCATTGAGCGCCTACCATGGGAAGGAGCTTGGTGGGAGGTAGGAGTGGAAATCAGTGAAGTCTTAGCTGTTTGAAACGAGCTCTTTGACCTGGCCCTCCCCTTAAGGGCTTTTGGGCTGGAGAAGGTTAAGGGAGGCCTTTGGACACCTGATGCAGGGGGTCAGGGGGCCAAGAGAGGTGAGAACGCCTGACTGGGTGTACCCAGGAGGCCTTCAACTGCCCCCCTGGGCCATGGATGAGCAGGATTTGGTAAGATTGTGGAGGAGGGGTAGTGTGTGGTGAAGTGAGAAATACTGAGGCATTTTTAGTCAAAATCTTTTTTCTTTTTTTGGTACCGGGGATTGAACTCAGGACCTTGTGCTTGCAAGGCAGGTGGTGGCACCACTGAGCTAAATCCCCAGCCCAAAATCTTTTTTCTTTCTTTCTTTCTTTTTTTTTTTTGAAACCAGAAATGGTTATGTAGTCCAGCCTGGCCTTGAACTCTCTGTGTAACCCAGGCTGGCCTCAAACTCAAGGTCATCCTCCTGCCACAGCCTCCCAAGTGCTGGGATTACAGGTGTGTGCCCCCACACTCAAACCAGTATGTTTTGAATCTTGGCTCTAGTGCCTAACAGCTCTGTGACTTTGGGCCCACACTTTAACCTTCAGAGTCTTGGTTTCTTCTCTGCAGTGTGGATGGGAGGAGCAGCAGAGTGTGTGGCCTCATGAGAGATGTGAGAGCTAGGGACACCCCAGTGCCTGGAGGTCGTGTGGAGTCACATCTCGGGTGTCTCAGGTAGGAGGAACAGCATGAACAAAAGCATGGCGATGGCATTTAGAAAAGCATTTGGGAAAGCTGGAGATTTAGCTCAGTAGCACCTCACCTGCCTGGCAAGCGCAAGGTCCTGAGTTTGATCCCCGGTACCAAAAAAAGAAAAGCATTGGGGGCTGGCAGGTGAGGAGGGCTCGGATCTTCTGGCAGGGCAGGGAGCGGTGCTGGTGCTGGTGCTGGTTCTGGGTGCATCGCTCACACGTTTGCCAGAGGAGTCTGATCTTTGAAGACCATGAAACCTTTCCTCCCTTGAAAACTTACCCACTGTCCCCCTTGGCAGTGTACTCTGGCCAAAATAAACTCATCTCTTCTACGCGCCCCCCATAATGAAACCAAAGTTCAGAGATGAGAGAAAATACTATTTCTTGAGCGTCTCCTACATGCCTGGCCCCGTGGTTTATACTTCTTTTGCGCTGACATCTACATTGGCTCAGAAGAAGGAGTGGCCGGCCCAGGTCCACCGACGGGAGCTGTTCCAGGGTGGGATGGGCTGTGGGGCCCTGCCAGGCCTTGTGCGGGGGGCTGGTGGGCAGTGGAGTTGGGCGGCTGCGGGGCCTGTGACCCCGCCTATGGGAGCAGGCTGGAGAGGCTCCTTGCTGTTCCTCCCTGGGGCAGGCAGGCCCTTGTCCTCTGGCAGCGTGGTGAGGGTGGGAGGCCTCGGGCTCAGGCTATGTGCTCGTGGAGGGTGGACACTGGGAGAGAAGCAGCTACAGAGCCCCTGGCTCCCTCTGCAGGGCCCTGCACCTCCACAGGCACTTTTGCCCCCTGCCAGGCCTGTGGAAAGGGCCGGCCTGGTACTCATCGTCCCTGTCCTGCTCCTCCTCCAAGGCCCACGATGACCACCCTGGGCTCCCGTACTCGGGGCAGAGGCCTGGGTACCAGGGTATTCCCTTGCTCTACCCTGATCTGTTATAGGAAAAAGCAAGTTTCTGAGCATCTGCTCTGGGATGGGCGTGGAGCTCGGGGCTTCTGAACCTTAGTTTCATCCTTTCTGCACTCCTGTACGGTCCAGCACTCTGCGTGTGAGGAAACCAAGGCTCCGCAGGGGTAGGTGACTTACCTGCATGCAGTACACTGTTTGTAGGAAGTGCACTTGGGATTCGAACCCAGGCCATTCTGGTGGCAAACTCACACATTTCGTCTCACCACCCTTGGAGTCTTCTTCCATCCTTGCTGCAGGGTGACTGTAGGGAGCCAGCCGGTGGAGGCTGAGGAGGACTTTTAGGTGGGCTTCACCTCCTCAGGTGACAAGGGCAGGTCACGGGCGTCTGGTGAGATGGGGCTTCACTTCTTTGGGCAAAGGCTGTGGAATGAAGCAGGGAGTTCTGGGAGGCACGGGGTCAGAGGGAATGACCGGAGCTACAGAGAGTAACGGGGCCCTGCTCTTTGGCCCCAAAGCCCTTTGAGGGCTGGAGGTGGAGGGTTTGCTGTGAAGCTCGGAGGGAAGGATGGGAGGGGCCTCTGTGGGTGGGAGCCCTGGGAGGGCGGCCCGAGAGGGTGGCCGGCTGGGAGAGGCCGGTGCAGAGGCCTTGCTGGCAGGGTGGGGTGCGGCACCAAGGCCGCTGTCTCCCCTGGTACCCAGTCTCAGGCCAGGCCTGAGGAAGTAATGCCGGCCTGTCGGGCTTGGACCAAGGGAGGTGCACATGGGAGCCTGGCAGGTGGGGTGAGAGGAGCCGGGGCTCTTTGGGGGCCCCTCGGGTTCCTCAGGCTGCTGTACAGGTGACACCAGCTGGAAGGGCCACAGCCTGGATCAAGGCCTTGGTCAGGGCTGTGTTCCCTCTGGATGCCCTGGGGAACCTGCTTCTGGTGCTGGCTGGCGATCCTGGGCTTGTAGCTGCCCCAGTTCAATTCCTGCCTCCGTCTGCGCGTGTCCGTCTTGCTCTGTGTCCTCATTTCCCTCTGCTCACGAGGGTGCCGCCATAGGCCCCGATTCGGTGTGACAGACACAGCTTCCAAAGGTGGTTGGTTAGCTTCATGGTTTGGGATCGAGGGCCGCAACACATCTTTTGGGGACCTAATTCAGCTCACAGCCGGGAGTCCACCAGGAGGAGGCCTCCAGAGCTTCCCGGGAGGGGCCGGACAGGCGCATGGGAATTGTTTTGCTAAGAAGAGAACAGTGGCTTTGAGACTGGAAAGAGACAGGCTTAATGGCTCCCTAGTTAAAGTGTGTCATGGGCAAGGACACCAGCCAGCGTCACCTCAGTCTTCCTCACTGCCTGAGTCAGAAGAGACAGACATTCAAACAGAGCCCCTGGTGACTTACATGGGTTACAGTTTGGGAAGTGCTGCTTGTTAAAAACCCAAGGGCCAGGGATGTAGCTCAGTGGTGCTGCCACCTGCCTTGCAAGCGCAAGGTCCCTAGTTCGATCCCCGGTACCAAAAAACACCCTGACTTGACTTGTGTTTCCCTGCCCAGTCTTGGTCAGCTTAGCTATCAGTCCTGCACAGGGCATTTGTGCTTTGCTGTCTCTGTCCCTCCCTCTCCCTCTCCTCCACCCACAGGCAAACACTCGACAACTAAGCTGCACCTGGGCCTGCGGGATGTGTTGGGCCTCTGTCCTCTGAGCTTGCTGAGCAGCCCTTCGCCAGCCTGTGTGGTGTCCTGGGTTGCTGCCGTGAACGCCTCCGCGCAGCCTCCTTTGGGGTTACTTCCTGAGGTGGGATTCCTGGGATCACAGTGCACCGCAGCTCAGCTTGCCTTGCATCCGATCACTCCCGTCAGGGAGCAGATGTCACGCGCTTCCCACCCTCCCCAGCAGTGCTGGGAACCTGATTTGGGAGGTCATGTGGCAGGACATGCTTTGGTGTTCAGACAGGCCTGCTTTCAAATCTGTTGTTTGCTGTGTGACATTGGCCAAATTACTCAGTATCTCTGAATTTGAGGATACTCTCCTATAAATCAAAATAGTGCTACAAACTTTGTAGGATTTATTTTTTTTTTCTTTTGAGACAGCATCTCCTGTGTAGTCCAGGATGGTCTTGAACTCATGATGTAGCTCAGGTAGCCTTGAACTTGTAATCTCCCTGCCTCAGCCTCCTGAGTCTAGGATTATAGCCATGTATGGCTTTGTAGGGATTTTGTAAAGATAATAATGATACCATCAATACCCATTAATTGAGCACTTACTGTGAGCTACCTCACTGAATCCTTTTTCAAAAATTTTTTATTTTTAAAAAATTTATTATTATTTTTTTGGTACCGAGGATTGAACTCAGGACCTTGTGCTTACGTGGCTGGCACTGGAACCACTGAGTTAAATCCCCGGCCCCCAAAATTTTTTATTTTATTAGCACATGTTTGCAATCCATGGATTTTACAGTTGTGTTGGAGAGTTGGTATATGTACATAATACAGCTTGTTTTCTTCTTTTTTTGGTACCAGGGATCAAACTCGAGACCTTGGGCTTTTGAGGCAGGCAGCGGAACCACTGAGCTACATCCTTGGCCCTACAGCTTGTTTTTTAAAAATTCCCTTCCCTCCTCCTCCAGTTAAATCCTTTAAAAATTATGTATTTTATCGGTACATGTTTGTCGAACATAATGATTGCCTTCATCCTGGGAAGTTGGTACATGCAGATGACGTTTCTTAATTCGTTTTTTAACCTTCTTGCCTCCCTCCCCCTCTCATTTAATCCTTACGTCCTTTTGCAGAGTAGGCATAATATTCCCCTTTGCCTTTTACAGAACAGAGAGAGCATGGGGTAATTTCAGGCGCTCACTCTGCAGTGCACTGTACAGCGAGCTCACGGCACCACCAGCACGGTGGGTGCAGTGTGTAGCTGGGTCCGAGGAGCCGCTGAGCGTCAGCCCGGCCTGCGCCCGCGCAGCCTGCCTCCTCTCCTGCGGCTGTCAGTCTCTCTGTTACTCGCAGGCTAGTGGCGTCTTGCTGGGCCATGCTTCCCTGATGATTTTCTCGCTGTTTTAGGTAGACTCTCCCTGTGGAAATGCGTGCTGAAGGGACTCCAAGGAGCAGAGCTGGCTGAGATCCCTCCTGCTGACGGCTCCTTCTCCCCAGGCCGGGGATGGCGAGGCTGCCCGTGGCCTCGAGCCTTCCTCGGTGCTCTGGGGGCTGAGGAGCGCTGGCTGCCATGGGGCTGGGGTGGCCCCGGGCCCGGCTGTTGGGCCCACCCACGGCCATGGTCTATGGCTCCTTGGCCCTGTTCACCTCCATCCTGCACAATGTGTTCCTTCTCTACTACGTGGACACCTTTGTCTCAGTGTACAAGATCAACAAAACGGCCTTCTGGGTCGGGGAGGTAGGGCCAGCGTTGTGCGGCCACCCGGGCGCAAGCGGAGGTGCCAGGGCGGTGGCTGCCGCTGGGTCCCCCGGTCAGGGTGGCCAGGCTGTCCTCCGAGGCTCAGCGGAAAGGCTGGTCTGGGGCCTGGGTGACGCCTGCGCGGGACATCAGGCCAGCTCTCCGGACTGCAGTCTGCGTGCTCGCTGTTCCGCGGCGCCTTACTGTGTAGCACAGAAGAGTCGCCCATGCGCACGACCAGCGGGCCCCTAGTGGGGGTCAGGAGGGTGCAGTGGCATGGGCGAGGGTCTCCCCTCATCTCCCTCTGCCGCAGACCGTGTTTCTCCTGTGGAACAGCCTCAACGACCCTCTCTTCGGCTGGCTCAGTGACCGCCAGTTCCTCAGCTCCCAGCCTCGGTGTGTGTGTGTCTTGGGGACGCCTCGTGACTGCTGCAGCCCCAGCCTGCAGAGCGGAAGGACAGCGGCCTGCGCTCGTGGGGGGAGGTTGGGGCCAGTTCAGGTGTCAGTGTGGCCCCGGCCTTCCAGGGCCAAGCAGGAGCAGGTGCTGTCCCGTGGGAGCAGTGGCCTTGGGTGGCCCAGCCTGCACACACGTGCTGCTGCTGCTGCTGGCGGGTCCCTTGGCCTCCTGGCTCGGGCCCCTGCTGTCCCCAGCCCTGAGTGGTCGGTCCCAGTGCCCGTGGCCGTCAGTCCTCACAGGCTAGTGTGAGGCAGGGGATGCGGGGTTTGGGGCACAGCCTGGAGTAAACCCCACAGTCCAGGGTTCCCCCTTTGTGTGCGCAGTGCCGGGGCTGCCCAGGCCTGGAGGGCGTCTCCCAGCGCCCTGCTCTCCCTGCAGGTCAGGCACTGGGCTCTCCTCGCGGGCTGTGGTGCTGAGCCGGGTGCAGGCCCTGGGCCGGCACGGGCCGCTGCTGGCACTGTCATTCCTGGCATTCTGGGTTCCCTGGGCCCCTGCTGGCCTGCAGTTCCTGCTGTGCCTGTGCCTCTACGATGGCTTCCTGACGCTCGTGGACCTGCACCATCACGCTCTGCTGGCCGACCTGGCCATCTCAGCCCACGACCGGACCCGCCTCAACTTCCACTGCTCCCTCTTCAGCGCGGCCGGCTCCCTCTCTGTCTTTGCCTCCTACGCCTTTTGGAACAAGGAGAATTTCTCTTCCTTCCGCACCTTCTGTGTGGCTCTGGCTGCTGGCTCTGCGCTGGGCTTCCTGGGGGCCACGCAACTGCTGCGGCAGTGGGTGGAGGTGGCCAGAAGGGACGCAGGGTGCTCAGCCCCAACTGGGGATGGCGGGTGAGTGGCTCTGAGTCTGACTTTGCTGCTGGGTCTCTGGCTAGTGGTGGCCACCCTGGGGTGGGGCTGCCTCTGGCCTGGCTCCAGCAGTTCTCAGCTCCTCTGCCCCACAGGGTGTGCAGAGAGGAGCTGCTGGCTGGCGCCGAGGAAGCTGGCAGCATCACCCTGGGCCAGTACCTCCGGCAGCTGGCACGTCACCAGAACTTCCTGTGGTTCGTGGGCATGGATCTGGTGCAGGTATGGGGGCACCCCCTCCCCACGGCTGACTGCCTCACTCCAGGGGCCAGGCTGGAGCTGGAGCTCGGGCCTGGTGCTCGGTTGGCAGGAGCCAGGGTGGCACCTTCGGAGGCCTGATCTCTAGCACCTTCTGATACCCTCGCCCCTGTGTGGTCTTAGGCAGGTTTTAGCCTCCCTGTAATCCAAGCACTTGGGAGGCTGAAGCAGGAGAATCATTGCCACGAGTTTGAGGCCAGGCTGCACTACAGAGTGAGACCCTGTATCACCCCCCCCAAAAAGTCAAGAGACTTATATTACTAAGATATTTTCAATTGAATGGAAACATGTAGCTGGGCGTGGTAGTGCACACCTGTGACCCAGCCCTTGGGAGGCTGAGGCAGGAGGGTTGCCGCAAGTTTGAGGCCACCTGAGCTACACAGTGAGTGCAAGGCAGTGAGACCGAGTCTCAGGAGAAAAAGAAAACTTTGTTCCAATTACTATTTTACTGTGTGGTCTGGCTTTTAGCGAAATTAGATAAGCAGCGGGCTGTGGCGTGCGGCTTTGTCCCCGCCTGCCCTGTTTCTGTTTCGGGACGGGACAGAGGATGCGTGCTCCGCTGTGGCTCTGCCCCTGTCAGGCCCTCCCCATCGCCCTGTGGCTTGCAGGTGTTTCACTGCCACTTCAACAGCAACTTCTTCCCCCTCTTCCTGGAGCACCTGCTGTCAGACCACATCCCCCTCTCCGCCGGCTCCTTCCTGTTGGGTGAGTTGGTGTCCGGCCTGCAGCCCGCCCATTGCTGTTTCCCTGAGTCCTGGGGGAGGGCAGGGCTGCCCTCCTGTGGTCCCCTCCTGGCGGCTCCGCCCAGAGCCAGGTGCAGTGGCTATGAGTGCAAGGAGCAGACTCTAGGCCCGGGTGCGAGCTGCAGGCCTGGGCTGTGGCTGTGGGCCTTTCTCGTGGGCCAGCACCCGTGGCCTCCGCATGTGTGGATTGGACCAGACAGGGAGGGAAAATACCAGGGAAAATTGCCTCTGCCCTGAACACGTGTCATCATTTTCCTCATCGTACAACAGCTACTTACACAGACAGCGTCTACATGGCCTCAGGCTATGTAAGTAACCAGGAGATGACTGAGAGTGTGGGAGGAGGTGTGTAGGTTGTATGGAAGTTTTATCCGCAGATTTTGCTATCCTTGGGGCCCTGAACCAGGCCTCTGGGACAACTGTACTTATCTCCATGGCTTGTGAAGATTAAATACAAGTGTGCAGTGCACACAGCCCAGAGCACTGTTAGTGTAAGAGTATTGCAGACAGTAGCTCTGAGTGTTGTTTTGTTTGGTTTTTTGAGACTGTCTTGCTATGTAGTTTAGGCCGCCTTGAACTCATGGCAGTCCTCCTGCCGCAGCCTCCTGAGTGCTGGAATTAGTGCTTGTGCCACTCCTGGCTAGTAGCTCTAATGCTGTAAGGCTATGGCTCTGCCCCTGATAAGATGGCACCCTCCTTCCCAGGCATCTCCTACGTTGCTCCTCACCTCAACAACCTCTACTTTCTGCCCCTGTGCCGGCGCTGGGGCGTCTATGCTGTAGTGCGGGGGCTCCTCCTGCTCAAGCTGGGCCTTAGCCTGCTCATGCTGGTGGCTGGCCCGGACCGCTCAGGCCTACTCTGCTTCTTCATTGCCAGGTGTGCCCCGCCTGCCCTTGCCTGCACACCTCTGTCCTGCCCCTTCACTTGTTTTGGTAATTGTAAGCATTTTTATTAGTACCTGAGTGCAGGACATAGTTGCACTCGTCGGGGGAGCTGGTACAGGGATGTACCACATCTTAGCTTTCTACTGCCCCTCCCCTGTCCTCCCTCCGGCTCTCTCTGGCAGTAACCGTGTCTTCACCGAGGGCACCTGTAAGCTGCTGACGCTGGTGGTCACTGACCTGGTAGATGAGGACCTGGTGCTGAATCACCGCAAACAGGCAGCCTCGGCGCTCCTCTTTGGCATGGTTGCCCTGGTGACCAAACCAGGCCAGACCTTCGCCCCACTGCTGGGCACCTGGCTTCTCTGCTTCTACACAGGTGAGGCTCTGGGGCCCAGCTTCCCTGGGATACCAGCTGCAAGCTGTGGGTCTGGGTCCAGAGAGGGAGAGAGCAGCCCTGACACCTAACACCTTCTGTCACCTCCCACGTATGGGTAGAGGAACTGGGTCTCAAAGTCCTGTGTTCCTTCATTAGTTCATTCAGTCATTCAGCAGATTGGTGCAGAATGCCACCTCTCCAGGCTCTGCCTTGGGAGCTAACAATGTGGCAGACAGACAAGGTTTTTGCCCTTGTGATGGAGCCTCTACTTTCATCAGGCAGAGGTGGGGTTGGCAATAAGCAGCGAACCAGGCACTTCCCAGGCCGTCGTGACTGCTGTGGTGAAATGGGCAGTGTGACTGCAGTGAGGGAGGGCCTCTCTGAGGAGGCGACCCTCGGCTGTGCTTGGAGGGGCAAGGGTGGGTCTAGAAGTCCCGGGGAATCACAGGCAGAGGGAATGGAAAGGGCCTGGCTCCAGTATTGGGGTTAGCGGTGAGGCTGGGGAAGCAAAGAGGGCTTTGCAGATCGAGCAGGGTTTGGAGTTTATTTTCACTGTGCCGGGAGGCTCTCAGGAGAGTTACAAGCAGGGAAGTGGCCCGGTCTCATTGATGCTTTGGAAAGTTGGCTTTGGCTGCCTGGGGAGGCCCCTGGGGGAGCCTGGGGCAGAGGCGACAGAGGCGAGGCAGGGCGAGGCAGGGCGTGTGGGGTGCCTTTCAGAGCGGGAAGAGACCAATGGTGGGTGTGAGTGCTGAAGCTGAACAGAGCAATCGAGGCAGATTGGGAGGTTTCTGCCTGAGTTCGGGGCGCTGGTGGTGTCATTCACCAGGAGGGAAGGACGGGAGGAGGTGGTCTGGGGAGGCATCAGGAGCTGTGGCCTGGGACGTTTGCGATCACCCTGCAGACTCGAGGGAACTGGGCGGACCACGATTTCCCTGTGCTTGCCCTAGGTCATGACCTCTTCCAGCAGCCCCTGGGGACCCCCGTGGGCAGTGCCAAGCCCTGGCCAGAGCCGCCAGCTCCAGCCCCGGCGAGGGCCCCACTCCGCCAGGGCTGCTTCTACCTGCTGGTGCTGGTGCCCATCACCTGCGCACTGCTGCAGCTCCTCACCTGGTCCCGGTTCACGCTGCATGGGCAGCACCTGCGCATGGTCAAGGCCCAGCGCCAGAGCCTGGCACAGGTCCAGACTCTGGACGTTAAGACAGTGTGAAGCATGGTGAGGCCACCCTGCTGAGGACACTGCCCAGCCCACCTGGAGGACGGACAGCAGACGGCAGCTCTGGGGACCGAGCCAGGAGTGTTGCTGAGGTCTGCCCGGCTCTGCTCAGCAAGGCCTGGGCTGTCAGTGCTCAGGGAGCCGCCTCTGGGGGAGGACACAGGGGAGCAGCAGGGATGGGGCTGCACCCCTGGGCAGGGTCCCAAGGCCCCTGCTGCCGCCTGGGTGGGGCTGGCTGCTCTGGTGGCCTCAGGAGGCACTTTTGGTACCCTGACTGTTCCCTTTGCCCAGTCAGGGGAAGCTCTGTTGCTCACTTCCTCCTCGCATCCTTCCAGTAGCCTCTCAGACGGTTCCCTGTGCCTGTAGCTGTGCCACCTCTAGAGGTGTTTTGTTACTGAGTGATTAAAGCCAGCCATTCCCATTCCTCAGGGCTGTGCTGTGAGTGGCAGGCTGGTGAACAAGACTGGCCACTGAGCAGGGTGTGGTGGCCAGGGCTTGTAACTCCAGTACTTGGGAGGCTGAGGCAGGAAGACTGCTGTAAGTTTGAGGCCAGCCTGGACTACATGTCTCAAAAAATGAAACACAATGATTCCTCACTGGGCAGGGAGAGCACCCAGAGAGCCGTTTCCCAGAGTGGTGGTCACCTGTGTCAAAGACTCAGGTCCCAGGACAAGAATGCAGATTGCTGAGCGCAGGCAGGTGGTGCCCACCTGGAGCCAGCTGGTCAGTGCATTCCCAGTGCTGCTGCTGGGCACAGACTCCAGAGGCCAGAGGCTCCTGAAGCAGGAGTCATGGGAGTCTCAGAGCTTTTGGGGGTTTGTTCTCCGAGTCCAGCTTGATGAGTCGGGGTGTGGCCTGACACTGGGCTCCGAAAACCTGTGATTTTACCTCGCTGCGGGGGTTGAAAACCACTGCACTTGCTGAGTGTCTTAGCCGAGGCACCAGGGATACTGGTGCCAGAGAATCCTGTGGTGTCCAATAGCTTTTTTTCTTTTCTTTTGAGACAAGTTCTCGCTATGGAGCACAGGGTGGCATCAAACTCATAGCAACCCTCCTGCTTCAGCTTCTCAAGTCCACATTACATCACAGTTTTGAGGAACGCTTACTTCCAAGAAGGCAGGAGCTGCTCCTGTCAGCAGTCTTCCTCTCAGGCGTGTCTGAGTCAGACCCTAGGCTTTTGGCCTGGGTTTGGTGTGAATGCCGGCAGCTCTCTACCCACCCACCAGCCTGGTGCTCAGGCCTGGCCTGGCTGGTAACAGTGCCCCCCGGGACAGAGCAGGGGGGCGGCACCTCGCAGGCCCCTGCCACGCACTGCCCAGACACAGGCCCCGCGCATGTGCGTCTATCGGAACACCTTTATTTAAGTACACTGGGCCCCACCAGGCAACACGGTTTGCGCGAGGCTGCTCGAGGGACAGGCCTGGGCTAAGGAGGTGAGCTGTTTAAGTGCTCTGCAGTCTGCAGTTGCCACACTGCTTTCACACACACCTGCTTTGACTCTCAGCTGCAGGGGCCTTTGGTCACAGGACGGCTGGGAAAGAACACTGCCTGGGGCTGGACTGGGGGGGCCTGGCGTCACTGAACTGCTTTCTGGGACCAGGACTGAAGCCAGCAGTGGCTCGTGCTCACTCTGGGGCCTTCCTGCCTCTTCACCTGCTGCCCAGGTCACGAAGAATGGCAAAAAGCAACTTGGTAAACTGCAGCTTTCTCCAGTGCAAAGGACTGGATCCCCAGTAGCCCTCCCCTGCCAGGGCTCTGCCAGAGTGATTCTATGTCCTGTCTCAGAAAATTCAACCAGCAGCCAGCCTGTTGGTTCCAGGGCAGCGAGCGAGTGGAGGTGGCAGAAGGAAAGAGGTGGATATGGTCAGTTCATGTCAGCAGGGAGTGCAGGCCCTGGATGCTACCCTGTAAACATCAGTGTGACATGGTGGCTGGCAGGCAGAAGGCGGGAGCCCCGGGCCCCCAGTCTCCTCACTGAACAAATACTTCAATAAATAAACCTGTTAGGGTGGCACTGAAACAAGGATGGATGAGAAGCGAACTACCAGGGCCGGGAAGGTCTCCTAAGCTCTGAGGCCCCGGGATGGACTGGGCTTGGGGCATTACCTCTGCAGCCAATCACAGGTGGCACGAATGCCCACTGCGAATGCCCAGGGAGGTCCCGGGCCCGAGTGGATGTGAGGGCACCGTGCCACCCCAAAGTCCTTTCACGGCCTCTCACGACTGACAGACAAGCAGGCCAGACAGAACTTCACCCCAACCCCAGTCCATGGTCCACTGGAGGAGGCAAGGACAGCAGGAGGGCGCCAAGGGCAGGCAGCAGCTCAGGCCCTGGGCACCCTGGGGGAGGGCAGGAGCGTCTCCCCACGGCAGTGCTGAGTCCCACACAGCCAGGTGCAGGTCCGCTGAGGGAGGAGCGGGCCTCTGCGGCATTCTTCCCTGCCGGGGCCCGTTGGTGGTCAAGCCCAGGCCTCGGCTGTCGCCGTCGCGGGGAAGCATCGTCCTTTCTGGGCCCAGAGGTCCTCGGGCCACACGCACTCGCATCTGTGCACACTCATACGCCCACACACGCACACACAGGCAGTTCCTCACAATCGTTCGACTCAAGAAAGCGAGTTTAAAGTGGAGTTAACTTCAGAGAGGTGAAGATGACATCTCCACATTAGAAGGTTTTCCTGTGGATGGAGCGGGCACCATCTTCCTCATATTCCTTCTTGGAGACCCACATCTTCTTAAAGGTGTCCAGCGAGGCAAGGATCGAGCCCCTGGGTGGAAGGATCCAAAGGAGCAGTGTGAAAGGGTGAAGCCTGGAGTCGGTCAGTCCCCGGGGCAAACCAGATTGGGGCCTTTCTGTCAAGGCACCGCGATGAGGGCAGTCGGTGCCTTTGCTTCCAGTTCTGCTCATTCCCGCAAGAGCTACTCACCCAATCCACGTGGAATACAGTCTCTCCTGTGGCGCAGATATCTGCAAAGGTGGATGGGAAGTGGATGCTGAGCACCCGCCTCCCCGCCCCGCCCGGCCCCGCCTGTCTTGCCCCAGGGCCGGGGGTGCATTCCACACAACCAGCTCTGCTCCTGCTGCGCCCCGCTCCCTCTGGAGGTACTGCAGGGACACACGTAACTGCACACCTTCATTGAGGATCCTGCCTGCCTGCAGGCAGCCGGTTGTCTTGGGAGACACTCAGATGCTGGACTGTTACAGGGCAGGGGCACAGAGCAGCACAGTCAGTCTGCAGCCAACTGAAGCCCACAGGTAGTGCCCTCAGCCTGGTACTGCCTCATCAGGGTCCCGAAACTGCCTTCCTTCTGAGTAAAAAGGAGGCCTCCCTGGTCGGCCTAGACCTCAGGGTCAGTTGCAGACTGGGAGCCCCTGGGCTGCAGAACCTGGCTGCCCACAGAGCTCGGCAGGGCCAGAAGGAAGCCCAGCCCCACCCGCCAGCTCCTGCTGTGCCCCTACCCTGATCTTCACGTCTTTGGGAGCCAGTTTCTTCACTTCACTGAGGAGCCTGTCACCAAAACCTGAATGTGCAGAAAAGGAGATTCTCAAGTCAGTTCTCAGGGTACCTGGGCCATGCTCGATTGGGACTGGTTCTCAGAAAGGCTCCAGAGCGAAGACCAACCTTTGAACAGGGTGGAGCCTCCTGAGAGGACAATGTTGGAGAACAGGGTGCGCCGCAGGTCCATATCAGACTTCTGGATGGCGAACACCAGGACCTCATGGATGCCCTCACTCTCCTCACCGATCAAGTCTGGCCTGAACAGCAGCTCCGGGGCCCGAAAGCGGGAAGGTCCGATCTGCAGAGTGAATGCTGGGGCTGGCACTGAGGTCCCTTTGCAGGCGTGAACGGAAGAGCCTTCTCTGCTCATCTATAGCACGCAGATGGCTACTGAAGACCACGCTCAAGACAGGCCGTGTGTCAAGGGCCACAGGAACAAATACGGGACTTTTGGGAACAAATAGGTAAAAGGAACAAGAAGCACTCCTGGGAGACTTTGCCTGACCTTTGGCATTATTATATGGATTCATCCACTTGTGGAAATTTCTTCCTATCAGAGGGACTTCTAGGTAGTGGCAACTCACCTCATACCGTGCTGGCAGTAGTTACAGACAGCACAAACCATCCCACTTCCTAATCCATCCTGATCTGGGACACTGCCCTGGCCGCTCCTCTCCTCCACAGAGGAACAGAGATCCCGCTCCTCTGCTGGACTGGAGCCATGCACGCTGCTCCAGAGCACCACTGGGGAGTCCTGTCCAGCCCAGGGCTTTGACGGGCCTGAGGGGAAAGGGAGCAGTATAGCCCCTACCTCGATGGTGCTGCCATCAGGCAGGTAGTACTGAGCCTTCTCTGTCTCCAGCGTCTCGTCCTTCTGGGGGTTTATGGACAGGTAGCAGGCTCTCTGCAGAACCAAGCAGACAAGTCAGCACCAGAGCCCCAGGGAAGAGGTGTGCTGCAGAAGGCTGCCCATCACCGAGACTGTGCCCAGGTCAGCAGAGCTGCAGTCCAAGCAGGAGCAGGGAGGTCCCTCTCCCGGCCCACACCAGGAGGCACCTGGGGCATGACTGCTTACCTTCCCCACCTTCCCAGTGGGCACATCTGGACCTCGCCTCTGTGGTCTGAGACCACAGTCTGATTTAGCCCAGGCCCAGACATCTTTCTCCTCCACTACCCCTATGGTGCTTGATCCCTGTGACCAGCCCTGAGTAACAGGACAGTTCTGTTTCCTCAGTACCAGCACCCTGTCCCCCAGGTTAGGGAGTAGAAGCAGCTGCTCCCCCAAACAGGGTAGCACTCTGGAAGGCGACTGACCATGGGCGGGCCAGAGGCCAGGCTGACCCGGAACCCCAGGGAGGAGCTGCACCCATTTTCACTCACAGGTCCCCACCCCTGGGTACGTGGGGCAGCACTCACTTCTTTTATGGCCTTGACAATCTCAAATTCGGAGGACGAGTGGAAATCGTAGCCCTCCTTGCGCAGATAGAGGCGAAGGAAGCGAGAGACATCTCGGCCAGCGATGTCAATGCGCATGATGGAGTGAGGCATGGCGAAGCCCTCGTAAATGGGCACAGCATGGGTGACGCCATCCCCAGAATCCAGCACCACACCTGTGGTCCTGCCTGTGGCATAGCTGAGCAAAGAGGGGCCGTCATTGATCTGCCTCCTCACTCCAGGAAGAAACCCACTCCTCCCTAGGCTCAGCACCTGCTACACTGAAGCCTGGGCCTGCCGTCCTCCCGTGCCTAGTGTGGACTGCACACTGTGAAGCCCTGAAACACCCCACAGAGCTGCTGAGAGACCCCACCCCCAACTGCCCACCAAGCAAGCCTTCCAGTCAGAGGAGGCTGCTCCCGGGACCCTGCCTCAGAGGCAGTTTTAACTTTCCAGACAAGAGGAAAAACTTAAAACACCTACAGGGCCCAGGAAGACAAGGAAATAGGTGAAGGAAAATGAGACTAATGTAATTTTCACTTCCATAAAGACCTACTTTTCCCTTCACATGGCCTTCCAGGTCTGCCTTTAGTTTCCTCTCATATATTTTTTCTCAGGGGTTTTTTTTGCAACAGGGTCCAGGCTGGCCTCGGACCCCCAAGTGCTGGGATTACCACCCATCCTGGCCTTCTCATATATATTTCTTTTTTTTATTTTCGGTTCCAGATATTGAACTCAGGGCCTTGCTTGCCAGGCAGGTGCTGTGCCACTGAACTACACGCCTGGGCCTCATATATATTTCTGGTATGAGGGCAAAACGTCAGCAAATGTTTGATAGACAGCAGTGGGCACTCTGCATCAGTGCTGAGAGGACAGCAGGGAATGGAGTGGACTGTGGTGAAGCCAGCTTGCAAACCGTCTGTTATGGCAGCTGCTAGCAGTTCCAGCTGGTTTTTGCCCTACGGGAATGTAGGCCTTGCATTACCACTTTTCCCATTTTTCCAGAGAAGCCAGCAATTGAAATTTTGATAAGAAAACTAATTTTTAAGTGCTGGCTCACACATTTTCAGTGGAACCCAACCAGTCCAGTGCACCATCTCTGCAGCAGACAGGCAGCTGTGAGGCAGGGTACAGAGTAAGACAGGAATGACAGGGAATAGGAGCAGGGGCCGTGGTGGTGTCTGACCACAGCTGGAGCTGGAGCAGAGGCCTGGCAGAGCACTTGGCACCGAGCAGGGGCTGGAGGAATGCTGGGGTATGTTCAGGGCTTCAGGAGGCAAGCAGCTGGCCTTCTCCGCAGGCCCAGTGCACAAACCCAGAGAGTCCCAGGACTGGACAGTCAAGTCTCACCCACTGCTTCTCTGTTACTTCCAGCCTAGAAGCCCCTGTATCCAGTTCCAACAGTCTGTCTCCCTCTCCCATCATCTTTAGCCCTTCTCAGCAGGGCTGGGTGGGGCTTCACCTACTCGGAAGGGCCCGAAGGAGAGGCAGCCTCAATTGTGCCCAAGGACAGCTCTGCCTGTAAGGCCTGGCCAGCCGGCCAGGCTGCTACTCACAGGCTGAGCACAGCTTGCATGGAGATGAAAAGGGCCGGCACATTGAAGGTCTCGAAGAAAACTTCGGCAGCCCGTTCTCGATTTTTCCGTGGGTTTAAAGGCGCCTCAGTCAGGAGCACAGGATGCTGGAGAACAGGACCCAGGAGGCAGTCGGAGAAAGCCAGATTTCCACCACCACCAGGAGCATGGAGAGGCCCCTTCTTGATGGTTGGGGAGCCCATGGAACTTTGTCAGACTCCCTCTCGAAAAGGCAAGCTAAGCCTGTCATCCCCTGGCCAAGTTGGTTTCTCCACTTCCCAAATTCATGTCTCTCTAGAGCCTCACTCTGTCCTCACCTCACCCTGACTCCTCTTACTGTTCCAGTCCCTACTGTGTGTCTCTCAATGTCAAGAGGACTTGATAGCTAGGCATGGTGACGCATGCTTGTAACCCTAGGACTATGACAGCTCAAGGCAGGAGCTTTCCAAGTTCGAGTCCAGCCTGGGCAATTCAGTGACTTAGTAAGACTCTGTCTCTAAGTCAAAAATTAAAAAAGGTCTGGGGGTATAACTCAGTGTACAGGCCCTGTGTTCAATCCCTAGCTCTAAAAAAAGGAAAAGATTTTGTTTAACTCTAAATTCTGAATTATGATAAAGTAACAGCATAAAGGGCCGGGGATTTAGCTCAGTGGCACCACACCTGTCTTGTAAGCGGAAGGTCCTGAGTTTGATCCCCGTTACCACAAAACAAAACAAAACAAAACAAAACACAGCATAAAAATCTGTACTGTAAAACAGAAAATTAAATTTTTTGTTGTTTTGTTTTTGGTACCATGGAGTGAACTCAGGACCTTGTGTATAAAGCAGGTGCAATACCACTGAGCTAAATCTCTGCCCTCAGAAAATTAAATTTTAACATTGATTTTTTTTGGTGGGGGGGGCAATAGGGTCTCACTATGTAGTCCAGGCTGGCCTCGAACTCACGGTGATCCTCCTGCCTCAGCTTCCTGAGTCTGGGACTACAGGTGGGCACCACCATGCCCGGCTGTCGTGGTGCTCTTAACAGTGTGAGGGTGCCCCAGGGCCACTGTGAGTCCTTGTGTGGTTTGCTCATGCTGTGAGCGATGCGGCTTGTTATGTGGGTCTCTACATGGGTGTCATGCTCTCCTTAGGCCACATTCACATGGTGTGTGTGTGTTTATGTTGGAGTTGGAGTGTGCATGGGCTGGAGTGTATTGGGCCACCAGGTGTGAGCTACAGGGTAGCAAGCTGTCCCTGGCACCGACCTGTGATTTATCATTCTATGTGTCAGCACACATGAATGTCCCTGACTGTGTGGCGGGTGTTCTGTGTGTCATTACACATGCATGAACATGTCTGAAAAGCGTTTGGCCTGATGCCTGGTACACAGTCAGACTCGAACACTCTTGCCAGTTTCATTGTCCTCCTTGTCTCTGGGGTAGGGCACCCTGGAGGGGAAGGCTCACCTCCTCTGAGAAAGTCTGCAGCTGGTCCTTGGAGTAGACATACTGCCAGATGCGCTCCATGTCGTTCCAGTCCTTGACGATGCCGTGCTCCATAGGGTAGCGGATGGACAGCAGCCCTCGATGCTCCTACGGCAGAGGGCAGGACTTGCAGCAGCAGGCAGGGGACCTGAGCCGGGCAAGCTGAATCACTTCCACAGGCGCCTTGGCCTGAGCTCCCTCCCTGCAGCCCATGCCCAGGCTAAGGGTGGGCACCCATGCTCCAGGTCTTTAGGCTGTGTTGCACACCACCCTTGCTAACCAAGGAGCTGCAAAGCAGGGCAACCGCATTTCGGTGGGCCTGAGGACCTGAGGGCAGGGACAGGAGGCACTCTCTGCTGCTTGGTTCCAGGACACATCTCCTGGCTCTCACCTCTGGCATCAGCACCTGAAGCCAAAGTTGGAGGCTGCCTGGGGCTCTGCCACAAGTGTGCGAATTAACATGGCATGGGGGTGCCCAGCCAGGATCTTCACTTTGAATCCCTTTGGCCAAAAAGAAACCAAGCCCATCAACTGGATCGCTGGCAAGGCAGTGACAGGCTACAGAAGAAAGGCAAATGCTTTGTTCTTTTGGTCTCTGCTTCCCAAAGTGGGGTTTTTGCTATTTTTTTTTCTTTAATACCAGAGGCTGCTCTTGGGAGAAATAAACTGCCCATGCCAAGGATGAAAGGACCAAAAGGGAGCTTTTGAGAGAAAACCACTCATTTTGTTCAAGGCTAACATGCAACTACTAGGATACTTCTCCCGTGGATAATGCTGGTCTGCAGTTTTTCTGTAGCTCTGGGGATTACCTCAGCTTTGGGGCCAATGAAGATGTCTCCTTCGAGGGCTCCTGCCATGACTCGGACGTGCTTGGGTCTGCCCACACTGGAGAGACGGCAGGGAGGAATACCAGTGTCATTTCAGGACCGACACAGGAAGAATATAATACAGATGCATACATATCCAGCTTCTGCTGGGCTCATCTCTGAGGAGTAAGGTTACAGTTGATTTTGATTTTTCTTCCTTATTCTTTATTTTCTACAAAGAACATGTCTTATTTATATATTACATCATATTTTATAAATTACTGGAACAATTTTTAGAGGATTCAATTCTTCTCTTTCTCCAATGTGTATGCAGACTGAAAAGATAAGAAAACAAGAACTTTCTTTTCTTTTTTTTTGGAGACTGGCTCTCGTTATATAGTCCGGGTCAACCTTGAACTTGCTATGCAGCCCAGACTAGCTTCAAACTCAGGATGCTCCTACCTTAGCCTTCCAAGTGCTGGGGTTTCAGGAGTCTGCCACCATGCCCAGCCAAGAATTTTTAGTTGGTTAAACTTTCGAAGTCATAGTTTTCATTCTCCCTACATCTTACATAGCAGAAAGGATGAGGGAGATCTTGAGATCTTTCTCTTTTTCTTTTTTTGATACCGGGGATCAAACTCAGGTCCTTGCGCTTGTGCAGCAGGCTGTGGAACCACTGAGCTAAATCTCCAGCCCAGCCAAGAATTTTTAAATGGTTAACTCAAACTTTTTAAGGGGCTGAGATGTAGCTCAGTGGTATAGCATTTGTCTAGCATGTATAAGGCCCTGGGTTCCATCCCCAACATAAAAACCAACCAACCAACCAACAAACACCAAGAGGGGTGGGGGATTAGCTCAGTGGCAGCGCGCCTGCCTGGCAAGTGCACGGTCCTGAGGTTGAGACCCTAAAACACCCATTGGACTCCTCAGTCCCCTTGCCAGGGGATGGACTAAGTGAGGCTGCCATCTCCTGCTTGGAGTCTCTGCCTCAGGAGGAAAGCTCCAAGAAACTCATTCTCACTGAGATAGGAATGAGTTTAATGGCAGATATGGTTTAATATTAAACCCCATCCTGGGTGATAGGAGAATTTTAAAAAGAAGGCTTCTAGCCAGGCTCAGTGGCACATGCCTGTAGTCAGAGTTACATGAGAGGCTGAGGCAAGAGGACTGCTTGAGCCCAGAAATTTGAGACCTGGGCAACACAGTAAAACTCTGTCTCAAAAAATAAAAATAGTGAAAAAGGTGGGTCTGGGGATTTAGCTCAGTGGTTCCACTGCCTGCCTCACAAGCACAAGGTCCCAAGTTTGATCCCCAGTACCAAAAACAAAACAAAAAAAATAGTAAACTAGTGGTACATGCCTGTAATCCCAGTTACTTGGAAGGCTGAGGCAGGAGGATCCCAAGTTTTTTGGTTTTTTTGGTACTGGGGACTGCACTCAGGACCGTGTGCTTCCGAGGCAGGTTGTGGAACCACTGAGCTAAATCCCTGGCCCAGGAGGATCCCAAGTTTGAGGCCAGCTCAGGCAACTTAGCTAGACCCTGTCTCAAAATAATTTTTTTTTCTTTCACAGTAAAATCAGGAACAAGACAAGGATGCCCACTATCACCACTCCTGTTCAATATAGTTATAGAAACATTAGCCTCAGCAATTAGAAAAGAGAAAGAAATAAAAGGAATAAAAATAGGAAAGGAAGAAATTAAGCTGTCATTATTTGCTGATGATATGCCACTTTACATAGAAGACCCAAAAAACTCTGCCAAAAGACTTCTAGACTTAATTGACAGATTCAGCAGAGTAGCTGGATACAGGGTCAACCCTCAAAAAACAATAGCCTTCTTGTTCACAAATAACAGACTCACTGAGAGAGAAGTTAGGGAAACAATTCCTTTTACAATAGCATCCGAAAAAAGGATATATCTAGGAATCAATCTAACAAAGGATGCAAAAGACCTCTACACTGAAAACTACAGCACTCTGAAAAAAAAGATCAAGGAGGATATAAGAAAATGGAAAGACATCCCTTGTTCCTGGGTAGGAAGAAGCAATATAGTGAAAATGGCCATACTTCCAAAACAGCTATATAGATTTAATGCAATGCTGACTGAAATCCCAACAATATACTGCATAGAGTTAGAGAAAACAACCCAGAAATTCATTTGGAACCAGAAGAGACCTAGAATAGCAAAAGCAATTCTAGGCAACAGAGACATGGCAGTGGGTATCACAATCTCCAACTTGAAACTATACTACAAAGCTCCTGTGATAAAAACTGTATGGTACTGGCAAAGAAACAGAACCGAGGACCAGTGGAATAGATTAGAAGATGTAGAAACAACTCCAGACATACTCAGCCACCTCATCTTTGACAAAGGAGCCAAATACCCTCACTGGATGAAAGATAGCCTCTTTAATAAATGGTGTTGGAAAAACTGGATTTCAACCTGCTGAAGATTAAAACTAGACCCCTATCTATCACCATGCCTTAAACTAAGATCAAAGTGGATTAAAGATCTAAATATTAAAACAGAAACACTAAACTTGCTGGAAGATAAGTTAGGTAGAACTCTTGAAAACATTGGCATAGGAACAAAACCTCAATAGCACAGGAATCAACACAAAGAATCAACAACTGGTATCTCATCCTATTAAAAAGCTTCTAAAAAAAAAAAGAAGCTTCTGCCCTGCAAGAGAAACCACCAACAGAGCTAAGAGACAACGTACAATGTAGGAAAAAATTTTTAGCAGCTGTACCTCAGATACAGGACTACTATCTAGAATATATAAAGAACTGAAAAAAATCAGAACCCCCAAATTCAAAGACCCAATTCAAAAATGGCCATCTGAAATGAACAGACATTTCTGACAAAGAAGTAAAAGCAGCAAATAAACATATGAAAAAATGTTCAACATCACTGGTCATTTGAGAGATGCAGATGAAAACAACACTGAGATTCCACTTCACCCCAGAAAGAATGGCTGCTATCAAGAAATCAACCAATAACAAATGTTGTCAGGCTGTGGGGAGAAAGGAACCCTTCTCCATTGTTGGTGGGAGTGCAAACTGGTGCAACCACTGTGGAAATCAGTATGGAGATACCTCAAAGAACTAGGACTAGAGGTCCCATTTGACCTAGGTATTCATTCCCCTGCTGGGTATCTTCCTTCAAGAATTAAAAGCATCATATCACAGCGATATATGTGCACCCATGTTCATAGCGACACAGTCTGTAATAGCTAATGCTTGGAAACAGCCCAAGTGCCCATCAACTGGAAACTGGATAAAGATGTGGTTTTTAAATAAAATGGAGTACTACTCAGCCATAAAGAATGAGAAATTAGAGATATTTATAGCTAAATGGATGCATATTGAGGCCATAATCTTAAGTGAAATAAACAGGACACACGTGTAAATACCAAAGTTTCTCTGGTGTGAGAAACTGAAAGTGTAAATAAGGATTAAAATGATTAAAACGAATAATTGATAATTTGAAATAGGTAGAAAAGGTCCAAAGGGGTAGGGGTGGTGGGAGGGGAAGGGGAAAGGAAAGAAGGGAAAGGAAAAATTATGAGAAAAGGAAAAATGGGGCCAGAGATTTAGGTCAGTTGTTCCGCCGCCTGCCTTGCAAGCACAAGAATCTGAGTTCGATCCCCGGTACCAAAAAATGAAAAGGAAAAAATGGAAATAAAGTGTTTGTAAATAGGGAAGGGTGGAGGGGGTGAAGGGAAGACAGGGAATGGGGAAAAAATAAGAACCAAGATACATCATGTATAGGTACAAGCACCCAATGATAAATGTAAATGTATTACATATCTAAAATGTACCGATAAAAGAATTTAAGCAAAAAAAAAAAAAAAAATTTGTTTTTTGGTACCGGGAATCAAACTCAGGTGCTTGTACTTGCGGGGCAGGCAGCAGAACCACTGAGCTAAATCCCCGGCCCTTTTTGTTTTGTTTTTTGAGCCAGGGTCTCCTATGTAGTCCAAGCTGGCTTTGAACTCTTTTTGTTTTCATACCGGGGATCGAACTCGGGTCTTTTGGCCTTGAACTCTTATTGATCTTCCTGCCTTGGCCTCCTGAGCTGGGATCACAGGTGTGCGCCACCACACCTTGCGCAAAATAAAAATTTTTAAAAAGGGCTAGGGATGTAGCTCAGTGGCAGAGTGTTCCTAGTTTTAATCCCCAGTACCACTAAATAAGTAAGTGAATAAATGAATAATTTAAAAGTGAGGAAAAAAAGCAACGATAAGGACTGGGGATTTAGCTCAGTGGTGCTGCCACCTGTCTCGCAAGCACAAGGTCCCAAGTTTGATCCCCAGCACCGAAAAAAAAAAAGCAATAATAAAATTTGCGGCATCAGACAAAGTTAGATTTTTTTTGGTATCAGGGATCAAACAGTCAAATTTTTAAAAACAAGGCCTATTGCCTGTGCCTTACAAATGATACCAGGTAGCAACTGTTTCCTTTGCTTACTGCAAACGCACCTCCTGTCCTTTACTTGTTCATTGTTTGGAGCACCAAGGCTGATCCAAGCAAGAAATCTTCCTAAGAGGAGGACTGGTCTCAGAATGAGATTCCTAAAGTCCTGGATGAGCTACGGAATGACTTACTAGTTTGGAAAGCAGTACTTCGGGATCTGATCACCAGCAAAACCAGCTTTAATCACACCGGATCCCTGAGGAGAGAGAGAGAGAAAAAAGTTAGTGCTATGGCTAAGGCAGGAGGAACTGTGTGCGACGCAGCCCATGTGCACAGCAGCCTGGGAAGGACAGCGCGCCCAGGGAGGGCATGCGACAGGCATGGTGCTCGGCGTGGCCCCTGCATACTCTCCCGGCGTTGCATTTCTCTGCAGGCTGTGGGTTTTCCACATTGAACGTGATTTCCTTTGGGAATTAAATAATAAAGGGAAGAAAAAGAACCTGGGAGCATCAAAGAAACCAAGTTCAAGAACAAGGCTGGCGTGAGGAAGGCACATGATCCTCTCCGTTGCACCAGCAGGGCAACTTCCACCTTGCCTCTCCCTGCCTCCTTCCAGGGGCGCCCCCAACACAGCACGGTCATGCTCGCAGCTGACTGCTGAACACACATCATCTGCCTCGGTGGCAGAGCACTGTGCTTTGTGGGACTGGTTATACTGACTGATTGTTTTGGTTTTCTGAGATAGGGTCTCGCTATAAAATTGAGGCTGGCCCTAAACCCAAAGCGATCCTCCTGGCTCAGCCTTCAGTGCTGGGATTACACGTGTGTACCACTACACCTGGCTTATGGTTTTGCTTTTTTTTACTATTCTTTTACTCCACAGTCTCCTGATGGTAAAGAACAGGGAAGCCCTAAAGCCTTGTCTGGCAGTAGGAGACCCACAGTTCTGGGCCTCTAATACTTAGTAAGTTGAGTGGGATGTCTAGAAAAGAATCCAAGTTTTCCAACCAGCATCCACCTTCCAGGGCTCAACCAATGTAAGTATCAACTCTCCAGACACAGATACCAACCTGGGGATGGACAGTGTCGAGGCCTGAGATTGCTTTCTTCTCGACTCTTCCCCACACCTGTAACCGCTCACCCTTCCGGCCCAGCATGGTGTGCAGCTGCATGTGTGACTTGCACAACTCTTTTCTGCTGCCTGTTGACACGTCTCCCGGGGTGGAGTGTGATACTTCCAGAACCCACACAGCAAGCAGTAAGCACATTGTGAGATGCTAAGTAGCCAAGGCTTCCAGCAACGTGCCCATGTCCCTCCCTGCCTCTCTGATTCCTGCTCTTCTGCAGAGGCTGCAGAAGACTGTCCATCCTGGTGCTTGCTTCAGGCAAGACAGAGGGTTGGGGTGGGTCCAGTGAGACGTGGTGAGAGGACAGGCAAAGTGGTATGGGGGTGCAGGAGGGCCAGCCTAGTTCTCAAAAGGAGTAGGAACCTCTTCCAGAAGAGAGAAAAAACAGGAGACAATGTGCAAGCTCATTGGCCTGGGCTGTACAGCGAGGAGCCTGGAAAAGGTCCAGCTGTAAACTGAGCTGGGAGACTGGGGAGGAGGAGGAATTCTCCTCTTGCAAAGCCCAGGGCCCTGGGACTATGGCATGCGTTGGCAGAACAGCCCAGTGTAAGACAAGTCCAGGAGCTATTAGCTCACACTTCCCGTGATTGCTCACTGCCTTCACTGGGGTGTGGGGACGCCAACAGATTAACTGCATCTCCAGGCAGAGGGTGAGAGAAGAAAAGAAGCATTTCAGATGTGGATATTTTAATTTTTTTTTTCCTGGTACTGGGGATCGAACTTAGGACCTTGTGCTTGTGAGGCAGTTAAGGTGCCACTGAGCTACATCCCCAGCCGTATGTGGATATTTTTAAGAGATGATTTTCCTGGATGCTTCATTTTCTTTTTTTTAAACAGGGTCTCATTATACAGTTTAAGCTGGCCTTGAACTATAGCCCAGGCTGGCCTCAAACTCACGGTGATCCTCCTGCTTCAGCCTCCCGAGTGCTGGGATACAGGCGTGTACCACCACTGCTGGCTTTGATCTCTGAATATAAGAAAAGATTACCAGATGCTTGATTTTTAGTTTACTAGCAAAAGGACTAGAGTCTGGGTAACAAGGCAGATTAAGATGTCAGATTCTTTTATTCTTCTTTGTCCCTCCCAAACTGAGTGTAACAGGCCCAGTTCAAATGTCACCACCTTCCTCCTGAACAATAAGCCCAAGTTGATTGACTTCCTAATATCTCATTGCGTAGTGCTGGCTAACTGTGTTTTGTTTTTTTTTTAAGATAAAAGATGTTGCCGGGGATTTAGCTCAGTGGCACCGTGCCTGCCTTGCAAGCAAGTCCAAGGTCCTGAGTTTGATCCTTGGCACAAAAAACAAAACAAAACATGTTAATGTATAAATTGTTTTTTCTAAACTAAAACCTCAGTATTCAGGTTTAATTGCAGTGTTGGCACTTGCGATAAATAAGTGAGTTTTAGGCTCTTGTCTCTAAAAGATTTGCCATCCCCGTACAGCCTGTCACTAATACCTGTACTACAAGGCAGCATGCATCTCCTTTTGCTCTCAGAATTTAGGGTTTCCATTTTTGTTTCTTCTCATTTCAAGGTCCCTGAGATCAGAGATTTCATACACTGACAATATCTGGCATTTGTTGGGTACTCAATAGATGCTTGCTAGCTAAGGATAGAAGCAGATGAAATTTAAAGTGTGGAACATGAATGAAGAGCTGGAGTGCCAGCAGCCCCAGGGAGAGGAGGCACAGGGAAGGCAAAAGCAGCTTTGGGAGTGATGAATAAAGAGGAACCAGACCCAGCTTGTCCATGCAGTTCCCAGTGGACCTGCTAGCCAGTGGTGAAATCAGTGGGAGGTGCTGAGCTCTCACCTCTGTTGAAGCCATTACATTTGAAAGGGTCACATCCATCTCTTGAATCTCTCTTTTTTTTTTTTTTTGGTACCGGGTATCGAACTTGGGACCTTGCGCTTGCAAGGCAGGCACCGGAACAACTGAGCTAAATCCCTGGCCCTTGAATCTCTTTTTTGAGACAGGATCTCTATATAAGTCATGCTGGCCTTGAACTCACTCTGAAGCCCAAGTTGGCCTCAAACTTTTGGCAATCCTCTTGCCTCAGCTTTCCTAGTACTGGGATTACAGGTGTGCACCACCATGCCCGGCTCCATTTCTTTTTTCTTTTTTTTTTTTAGGTACCAGGGATTGAACTCAGGTCCTTACGCTTGTGCAGCAGGCAGCGAAACCATTGAGCTAAATCCCTGGCCTGGCTCCATTTCTTTAACAGTATTTACAACTAGATACTGTGTGGCTGGCAGATAAACTGCCATTCTGTTATTTACTTGGGCAAAGTCATGTGAAGAAATTTGTTTGTTTTTGTTTTTTGAGACAGAGTCTTTCTTTTTATTTTTTTTGGTACCGGGGACCAAACTTGGGTCCTTGTGCTTGCAAGGCAGGTGGTGGAACCACTGAGCTAAGTCCCTGGCCCTAGACAATGTCTTTCTATACATTCCAGGCTACACTTGGACTCTCCCTGCCTTTGTCCCCTAAGTGCTAGGATTATAGGCATGTACCACCATGCTCAGCCAGAATATACTTTTTATTTTTATTTATTTGTTTTGTGTTTTGGGGACAGGATCTTTCTTTGTAGCTCAGGCTGGCCTTGAGCTCACTATGTGGCCCAGGCTGGCCTGGAACTCTTTGGAATCCTCTTGCCTCAGCCTCCTCAGTGCTGGGATGACAGGTGTGTGCCATCACACCTAACATGATAATGTTAATTGTATTAGGAGCGATAATAGTACATTGACACCCCCCCCCATATATATATATTTTTTGGTACTGGAGATCAAACTCAGGTCCTTGCGCTTGGGAGGGAGGCAGCAGAACCACTGAGCTAAATCCCCGGCCCCATTGAGTATATTTTTAAGAAAGGAAAGTGGGTGGGAATGCAGTTGAAAAAATTAGCCAGGAGTTGAAAACTGGTATAGTGAGGTTTAGTGGATGTTCATTATACTATTCAAAACACATATACTGAACACACACATACATATCTACAAAATATAAAATATATGCCCAGGGCCAGGGATTTAGCTCAGTGGTTTCGCCACCTGCTGTGCAAGTGCAAGGACTGGAGTTCCATCCCAGGTACCAAAAAAAAAAAAACTACTTGGCAGTAGATATATGCTACATGGGTACTTGTGACATATGTCTTTGAATTTTTCTTTATGTTTGAAGAATCTGAAGCAGCACAACATCCCCAAAAAACCCCAGTGGACCCCACTTCCAGCTTACTGGACACTGTCCCTGCATGTAGGTCCACATGGCACAAAGACAGGGTTATGATGGACAAGAATGGTGAGCCACGCTAGCCCAGAAGTATATCCTTTGAGATCTTAGCACAGATTTGAGCTTCAGAATAAACAGTCTGCTCTTGTTGTGTATGTCTATGATTATGCTTATCACTTTATTGTTGTTGTTGAAGTACTCCCACCCATTTCCCTCATTAAATTCTGATGAATGGGTTTACTGAGTGGCAGAGCAGGATGAGAAGAATTGTTTTAAAATGGGGGAAGCGGGCCGGGGATTTAGCTCAGTGGTTCCGACGCCTGCCTCACAAGTGCAAGGTCCCAAGTTTGATCCCTGGTACCAAAAAAACCCAACAACAACAACAACAACAGCAAGAACAACAAAATGGGGGAAGGCAGCAAGGAGTGGTGATATACCCATGTAATCCCAGCATTTCTGGGAGGCTGAGGTAGGAAGACTGCCAAGTTCAAGCCCAGCTTGGGGAACTTAATGAGACCTTGTCTACAAATAAAAAAAAGGGCTAGGCATGTAAGTCAACATGAAGGCCCTGGGTTCAATCCTTAGTACTTCAAAATAGATAAAGGGCTGGGGTTCAGCTCAGTGGCACTGCGCCTGCCTCGAATGCACAAGGTCCTAAATTCAATTCCCGGTACCAGGAAAAACAACAACAATAACAAAAAATAGATAAATAAAACCCAATATCATGTAAATTGCTGTGGTACTGCACTGTGTAGGGGACAATGACAACTCTGTACTTGTGTGGAATGGATGTAGTCTTTCTTTAAGCAGTTTTGGTCCGCCATTGGTTGAATCCGTGGATGCAGAATGTGTGCATATGGAGGGCTGACTGTACTAAGAGAAAGATAAAGGCCAAACTAAGAGGCATTAGCTAGAGTGACATTAAAGGAAATGGCTGGAGATACAAGTCCTGCTCAACAACTGAACAATGCAAAAGAATCAGCAGGATGGGCAGGCTGTTCCTTCTGTACTGCTGATGACAACAGGAAATTAATGATCTCTATATATTTTTTTCTTTTTACAATGAAGAAAAAAGTAGATAAAGGATGCATATCTGCATAAAGATAGAAATAATGTTCTCTGAAAATCAACATCAAGAATAGAGAATCTTACTCAAGTCTCTGGGGTATTAACTAGGGAAAATATTTCATCCTTTTCTTACTTAGGGACATCTTTGTTACTGTGATACAGTCACTCACCTACCAAGCCAATGAAAATGCTTTATTGAGCACACTGTGGTGCCAGGCTCTGGGTCCTGTCTGGATAAAGGGATACTATAAAAAATAAAGGAATGTCATCTTTTCACACAGGATTTAATAATTTAGAAAGGAGACAAAATGCTCTCAGAAATTAGGTGTCTGAGACTTGAGGTGTGTCACATCCATGCACCACTGCCACGATGGACATAACCGTCATGCACCTCAAAGACGGACTAATAAAATTTTAAAATTATTTTAAAAAGATGAATAAAACATGCTTTACCCCTTAAAAAATAAGGTGTCTCATTTGAGTTCAATCTTGCATTTTTTAATTTTTATTTTTGGTATCGGGGATTGAACTCAGGTCCTTGTGCTTGCAAGGCAGGCGGCAGAACCATTGAGCTAAATCCCTAGCAATCTTGCCTTTTTTAAAGGCAAGAAGCTATATCTCTGAGAAGGAAAACTTACAACAAACAAATCCCCTTTCTGTTGAAAACGTGAGCAACCTGGAACCAGACCTCAGCTTGAGTGTTGGTCCCTCAACTCCTAAACAGGGTGTTTTGTTTGTTTGTTTGTTTGTTTTTGGTACCGGGGATTGAACTCGGGGCCTTGTGGTTGTGAGGCGGAGCCACTGAGCTAAATCCCCGGCTCCTAAACGGGTGTTTTGAATAATCTTTCCAAACTTCACTTTCCTGGAAACTGGGGAAAGTAATTCTTCTCGCCCTACCAGAGCTAAATCTTAAATAAGATATAAAGAAAAGAACTTTATAATATCCCCAGGTCCCAAGGACTAGATCAACACAGTGACTCTGATAGCCTGGGACAGGGGGTACTATCGGTTTTGCCCAATAGATGGACCTAGAAGGGTCACGGAAAGGAGTATCGACCGATCTCGCCGAGACTAAACCTTGGAAGGCAGTACAGAAAAGGAACACAATTTGTCCCTCACCCCATAAAAACAGTATTTAGATTCTATTTGTCATTATTGGTGCATCTGCGTGGGGTGCTAGACAAAGGGAAGGACGAATGAAGCAGCACATTCAGGGCACCAGTACTGTGTGACCTTGGGCTCACTTCACATCTTCCCGTTTCAGTTTTCTCACTTGAGAGACGAGAATCAAACTTCTTAACTAGTCCCGCACTTGTCGTAAGCATCCAACTGAAACGTAGGGGAAAGGGTCCTTGAAGTGTCAGAGCGCCTGGCAAACACTGCAGGTGTGGCAATTTTACTCGCAACGACTAGGCGTCCGTTTGCCTTGCCATTTCCCCTTCTTCTCGACTTTCATTAACTATAATTTACAATTGCAGAAATAACAAGTCCTCTAGCAGTGTCCGGCAACAACTCTCGGGCCCCACCCAGGCACACTCCACCACGCCGGCTCGCCGCCCTTCCACGGCGGCGGGCGCACCCTCGCCTTCCGGCCCCGCCACCTGAGTCCGCCAGGCCAATCCCCACAGCCCTCGCGACTGCCCCGCCCCCTAGACGAGGAAACACCCTGGCGGTGGGAAGAACGACAGGCGTCTGAGCCAATAATTGCAGAATGCTGCCCTCATCCGGCAAGGCCCAGAGGAGGGGTCGTGGGACAAGATGGGCAGCCAGAGCAGCCAATGAAGTGATGGGAATCCGGGAAGGGGGCGGGCGCCAGGCTCTAAGCGGTTAAGGGCCCTGGAGTCAAGGGCCTAAGGACCCTGTTCGGCTAAAGCAGTCTCCTTTACTCACTCTAAAGTTCTCCACCCCACGGTTGCTGGTCGGCCGCCCCGCCTGAAGACTGTGGATGGGGGAAGGAGGGAGGCGGCGTCAGCAGAACCCGCCTGACAGGCCGGGCCAGTGACAAAGAGCCGGCCGCCCAGGTTGAAACCCGGGAAGCCATCCTTTCTGAAAGGACGGCACAAGTCCCTTGGAGATAGGAAAGACACAACTCACGTTGTCGATAACAACAGGCTGGTTGGCGATCACATCGTAGGACTCCATGGCAGAGGAATCGCTCCTTCCGAGGAAGGTACTGCCAGCCGGGTCCGCCGCTAACGCCCCCGACGCGCACGCGCACTCCAGCCGCCGGTGCAGGGCGTCAAGGGAGCGGCCCCATCTCGCCTCGGAGGAACTACCATCCCCACCATGCCTTGCGCCAGAGCGAGCGCGCCAGCCTGTTACTGGGCCCCGCCTTCAGGAGATTGCGGGAGGTCTTTCCGACGCACAGTGCCGTGGGGTTTGTAGTCCCCACAGATTAAATAGCCGAGACAAAAGTTGATGATTGTGTTGCATGCCGGAATATGTAGTCCCTTTGAAGGGGTTCGCAATACATGCTGAAGCGTGCAATCTTGAGTGTGCGTAGTTGGGTTTGGATTTTATAAATCAGTCCTTCCACTCTCCTCTCCTCTTGGAACAATTTTTATTTGGGTCTATAAGACATAAGTAAACATCTACCACTTCACATTCTTTTTTGTTTGTTTGTTTTGTTTTTTTGGTACCGGGGATCGAACTTGGATCCTTGCGCTTGCGAGGCAGGCGGCGGAACCACTGAGCTAAATCCCCAGCCCCCACTTCGCATTCTAACAGGAAATTTTAACACACACAAAGGAAGGACATATTCCTAAAGCAAAGAAAAATAATTTAAATTGCATAAATTTCGCTTTAAGTAAAAAACCGGTACATTGTCATTGCTTTTCCCACTTTTCCCATTTCTTTCCTGGATAGGTATAAACTTTGCAACAAATAAACACTAAGGATTGGCATTTGGGACATTAACTAAGGATTTAGGAATTGCTCCAATGCCCCCCCCCTTTTGGTACCGGGGATCGAACTCGGGTCGTTGCGCATGCGCAGCAGGCGGCGAAACCACTGAGCTAAGCCCCGGCTATGCCCCCTTTTCTTAACCCTTTTAATATTGTTTTGTTTTGGTACCAGGGATCGAACTCGGGACCTTGCGCTTGCGAGGCAGGCGGGAGAACCTCTGAGCTAACTCTCCGGCCCTTAACCCTTTTAATATTAATGAGGAACTAGGATTGATTTTAATGAGAAAATATGGGTGAAGAAAAGTTAAGAGCAAATCTTTCCAAACACTCTTAATTTTTTTTAGGGAGGGGGACTATCGTTTCCTTCCCAACCTCCTTTCAAGTTGCAGGGATCGTGGTCAACAGCACTAGGAAATACTGTATTAAGATTTATAATCCCTAATGCCAAAGGAAGGAATGATCAATATGTTGCCCGATTTGTGCTTAAATCTTTGTCAGCAGCATGTCAGCTAAACAGTGACAAGCCCTTTGTCGGCGCTCTTCGCGGGACCCTAGCATCTCAGAAGGGTGCCTTAACTCTATTCACACCCGGTTCCTCCTAACGCTAGGGGGAGACCAAGAGCCTTGAGTTACTCCCTACGCGAGTCAGGGAGGCGGGCCTATTGTCGAGTCACGCCTTCCCACCTGTGACTGGCGAGCATGCTAGCCAATGGGTGAGGGACAGGGCGCGCCGGCGCCCCGCCCCCTCGCGCTCCCCGCGGTCCGGAGGCGCGCTCTGGCCGACTCGGCGGCGGCTACGGCCTGGGCGAACTGTCCGCGTGCGCAGGCGCGAGCTGTCCCTCGCTGCAGCCCCCCCGCTGCCACCGGCAGTCGCACCCGCCGAGTCTACCCGCTGGACTGTCGGACGCCCCCTCCTCCGCGCTTTAGGCCCCCCAGCGCCCCACGCGCCCCCATGGCGGAGCTGCGGCCTAGCGGCGCCCCCGGCCCCACCGCGCCCCCGCCCCCCGGCCCCGCTGCCCCGCCGGCCTTCGCCTCGCTCTTTCCCCCGGGACTGCACGCCATCTACGGGGAGTGCCGCCGCCTTTACCCCGACCAGCCCAACCCGCTCCAGGTGACCGCTATCGTCAAGTACTGGTGAGCCTGGGCCGCGGGAGGGCGGGGGCCGGTGCGGGGTGAGCGCTGGGACGGAGGACTTCCTGCCGCGGGCCCGGAGTTGGGGCTGAAGTTGGGGATGGGGACAAAGGGGTGACCGGGGCCCGTGGGCAGTGAAGGGTTAAGCGGGTCTAGGAGAACAGAGACCCGGCGGCGCGTGTGGAGCGGAGTGGAGCGGTACGACTGGGAGCTGTGAATGCGGTGGAAGGGGGGGCGCCCGCCGGGGTCATTCGTGGGCGAGGGGAAGCCGAGGGGACGGTGGGCGGGCGGCGGGCGGCGGGCGGGCCCTGGGAGGGCTGCGGGAGCGGGGCTGCGGAGCTCGGAGGGCACGGCCGCACAGGCTGGGGCGGGTCTTGGGGCCCGGGCTCTCCGAGGGTCTGGAGGGGCGCGAGAGGAGCGCGCTGCCCTTATGACGAGATGAGGAGGGCGCCTTCGATGTCTTCCCGGGGAGCTCCGAAGTGCAGCCCTGTAAGCTGTTGCGGTGAAGTTTGACGGACCAACGCGCCCTGATAAACTTTTGCTTGCTCTGCAGTACTCTCTGCCGAGCTTCCTTCTGGCTTTGCAGCTGCATTGCTTTAGGACGTGAGTCAAGGACATGGCAGGGAGAGCCTTGGCTTGGCTCAGGATTAAGGAGGATGAGTTTCCAACTTGGAGTGGGAAGTAAAAGATGGGGACCCGGGGCTGGACAGGGAGAAAGGAAGTGCAGTGAGCCTTTAAGAGGAAGTTTTTGCCCACAGCTTCAGGATTTCGACAGCAGTTTCTTTGGGAAGCCCATCGTAACCCCCAAGTCGCTGTTAAAGATGGGCTGCCCTTGAGGGTAGGAATGGACTTTTCTTGTTTCTCATTCCTTATTGCAATCTGTTTCTTCCTTCACCCTTCAGGCAAAACATATGTTATGGGACCTTGGAAAACAGCGTGTTTTTTTGTTTGTTTGTTTATTTTTTGGTACTGGGGATCCAGCTCAGGACCTTGCGCTTGCTAGGAGGCTGCGGCACCTCTGAGCTAAATCCCTGGCCCGGAAAACAGCGTGTTTATGGTCTTTTCATACCAAAAATTGACCGAAGACTTGGAAGAATTGGTCAAATCTGTCCAGGACTGCTTTCATGAAGGTGCTATATTAGATGATCCCCTTCAGGATCCTGAAAGACTGAGAAGCTGCTTGAGGTGTTTGTTGGCAAAGGGTAGAGCTGAAGAGGGAGGTGATGAGTTTGTTGTTGATTACCTTTCTCTTTAGGACTGAGTCTTTCTCCGCTGTGACAGCCTCTTCCTGACTCTGGAGATGGCAGTCGCCAGGTTGTGCTGGGCTGAGGCCAGCTCCTTGTGGCAGTGGGAGGGTACAAAGGACGCCAAAGGCTCGAAGGGCCTGGGGCCACAGGGAGCAGCTTTCTCAGTCTGCAGTCCTCTCTGGCAGGCAGACTGTTCTTTGGTACAAAGGACTTTTGAAGAGCACTTCTGAGTGGAAAGCAGCTCTTGCTAACCTAATCGCCTGTTCTGATGGCACCTGTGAACTTGACCTTGAGAAAAGTGGGCTGTCTGTGCTCTGCTTTTGTTCGGGTATCGTCTGAGTGGGATAAGTCCCTGCACAAAATTGGGCAACTTTTGTAGCACCCAAGTGGCTGTCCAGGATGGAGTTGTGTGTGAAAGGTATCTGAGGATTATGCAAAGGACTAAGGGTGGTTACTGTAATTTTGTCTATCTTGCTGCTAGCTTGTTAGCCAGGACATTTCTTCAGAGATGGGCCAGCATGAAATGACACAAGGAGGATTGTATAGCACTTTGTGAAATCAGCAGTGCTGCCTAGATATAGAAAAGTCTGAGAGAGCAGCTCAGTGTCTGGTTCTTTCTAGGATTTGGAGGGGTTTGCAAAATTAAGACACTGAAATACACTCATATCCCCGAATGTGGGACCCCACCAGCCTCTTTAGTCCTCATGTCAGGGTGACTTCCTGGGTACGGCTTGGAATTCCTTTTGCAGTGGAGGTGGCTCTTTGGGAAGGGGTTCTTGGCCAGCAGGGAGATTTTTCTGAAAGTGAGCCTGTAATGAGCTAGATCAGATGAGAGGGGCAGAACCTGTATCTGGGTCCACTCCCGCCCTGAACCTGCCCCATGTAGAGAAGTCAGGTGTCCAAGGAATTGAGGTGAGGTGTGCTCCGGACCCTTGGAAAACACCTTTTTCTGAGTGTAAAATATGATCGTTTGCCACACTCATCTGGGTTTGCGCAGTAGAGCAAAACACTCTTGGATAATTTTTTTGTTTCATTTTGGTTTTTGTGGTACTGGGGATAGAACTTAGGACCTTGTGCTTTCGAGGCAGGCGAGGTGCCGCTGAGCTAAATCCCCAGCCCTTTTTGTTTTTGTTTTTTGTTTTTGGTACCGGGATCTCCCCAGCCCTTTTTGTTTTTGTTTTTTGTTTTTGGTACCGGGATCGAACTCGGGTCTTTGCACTTGCACAGCAGGCGGCGAAACCACTGAGCTAAATCCCCGGCCCGAGCAAAACACTCTTGAGCTTTGGAACATTCCCTGACTCTGGGTAAGCACCCTCCTCCTGGAAGAGTTGGTTGGAAGAAGATCGAAGTGAATGTGTGACAGGTGGAGCAGGAATGGTGAGCAGGGTTTGGCTGCTTGTTGTTGGATGGACCCAGACTGTAGGCTGGGCAGGGTGGGGATTTGAGCAGGAAACGGCAGATGTGAGGCCTGTAGTCCTCCTATCTGTGCTGCGGTTCTGCAGCTACAGTGCATTCTCCCAGGGATCTTTCCCCCTTTTCTTTTCTCTTTCCATCTGCAAACTTCTCTAAATTCAGCTGATTGTGGAATTAATGATTTGGGAAATCAGAGTTAAGGGCAGACATGGAAGTTTGTCCCTTTCTCTAACTCATTTGAGATTCTAAGCTATTTGTAGAAACTTTCTTACAAATTCTATAAATAACTTAGCATTTCCCGGCAGAGAATAAAGATTTCTACAAAAGCAAATAATACTCTGGCAAAGAAGATGAAACCAGGCTTACTGGTTGGTGGTGGTTTTTTTTTTGTGTGTGTGTGTGTGTGTGTGTGTGTGTGTGTGGTGCTGGGAATTGAACCCAGGGCCTTGCACATGCTAGGTGAGTACTGTAGCACTGAGCTATATCCCCCGACTGACCTACTGGTATACATGTATGCATGTATGTATGTATGTTTGTACTGATTTATTTAGTTTTTTTGAGACAGGGTCCCCCTGTGTAGCTCAGGCTGGCCTTGAACTTGTGCTGATTCTCCTGCCTTAGCCTCTGGAGTGCTGGGACTACAGGCGTGTGCCACCATGCCCGATGACCTACTGGTTTTTTTTGTTTTTTTTTTTTGGTGCTGGGAATCGAACTCGGGTCCTTGTGCTCACGCAGCAGGCAGCGAAACCACTGAGCTAAATCCCCAGCCCCCCTACTTGTTTTAAATAGTGTCTAGATTGCATGTACTGGCACACTTGCTAAGGTTTCCTGTAGCACAAGTTTTACTTTGTTGTTGGCTTTCCTTCAGCAAACTTTCTGCTGGCAGAGTACACTACATTTGTCCCAGGGGCACCCCCACCCCCAATATTGAACCCTGGGCTTTGGGCAAAGTGCTCTGTCACTGAGCTACATTTCAACCCTTAGGCAAAGTTTTTGCAGTCTGGTGAGAGGTTAGATATCTGAAGTGGCTCACTCAAATGCAGTGTTGGACTAAATGCAGATTTCTTTCTGCTGATGGTTTCCTTTGAGTCTATTTTTTAAGTGTACTAGGTTTCCCTCTCCATTTGAAAAACAGCAGGATGTTTTTTCTTTTTTGGTACCAGGAATTGAACTCAGGGCGTTGAGCTTGCCAGGCAGGCTTTGTGCTGCTGAGCTACATTCCGGGCCCAACAGAATTTTTTTTTTTTTTCGATACCAGGGATCAAACTCAGGACTTTGCACTTTCGAGGCAGATGTGGTCCCATTGAGCTAAATCCCTGGCTCCAGAATTGTTTTTTTTTGGTACTAGGGATTGAACTTGGGTCTTTGCACTTACAAGGCAGATGGCGAAACCACTGAGCTAAATCCCAGGCCCCAGAATTTTTTTTTTTAAAGGATTAGTTATGATACTAAATCTTCAGAGTGAACTGATGCTTGAATCTTTTCCACGACTCCTCTGTTGGACTCGGGGAAATTCAATGCGGTCCTCAGCAGCCCCAAGTCATTTTTCATCCCAGTTCTTCCTTAAAGCAGCAGTCTCTGGGGTCTCCTGGAGGGAGGCTCTCCTGGGCTCAGCCTGGGTCCTGCTGCGGCTCTCTGGGCACAGCTGAGCTAGCCTAGATTTGGCCTGTGTCACTTGCAATGATGAAAGGTCAGCTTTGGTCTATGGGATGCAGACAGGGTCTTCACTGACTGAAGACTTTGTGTCTGTTAGAATAAACTATAGTTAGCATAGGCCACAATATAGTCTTTCAGGAATTAGCTGTTGAAGAGGCAGGAGTGGAGCAGAGCTTCTGCTTCCAGGAGCAGTGCCCATTGGGGTGTTCCTGACGCTCCTTTAGCAAGGCCAGTTGATTAACTGGTGCATCTCTTGCCTTGAAATTTGGCCTGTTTACAGGCACCATAGAAGAGTTCATCCCTGCCGTTCCCATTTGGGATTGGTAATTTGAAACAGAAGAAAGCAGTATGGGTAGCCATTCAGTCTGCTCTATTTCTAAAAGAGGCCCTGCCTGTGGGAGCTTCTTTTTTCTTTCTTTCTCTTTTTTCCTGGTACTGGGGATTGAACTCAGGACCTTGCACTTGAGAGGCAGGCACAGGGCCACTGAGCTAAATCCTCAGCCCTGTAGGAGCTTCTTGTGCTTGTGGAATTGGCCGTTCTCAGCTGCTGGCTTCCCTGGGTCTCAGCCCACAGAGGCATAGCTTCCCTTTAGTTATCTACTGGGTCATGCTCTTCTAAGGTGAGGCCTACAGACTGTAAAGTTGGGCTTCTTAGCGTGACATTGTCTAGTTTCTAGGCCCATGCTGACGCTCCTGTATTTCGTCTTTTTCAGGTTGGGCGGCCCAGATCCTTTGGACTATGTTAGCATGTACAGGAACGTGGGGAGCCCTTCGGCCAACATCCCTGAGCACTGGCACTACATCAGCTTTGGTCTGAGTGACCTCTATGGTGACAGCAGAGTCCATGAGTGAGTGTCTCACCTCTCTACCCTCCATGCGCCCATTCTTAGCCTTGAGCCTTATTTCTGAGGTTTTCCTGAGCAGGGGTAGTAATGCCAGCCCTCTGCCTTCCTTGGTGTCTCCTTGTGCTGACATGGTCCAGGTTGAGCCTTGCTCCTCTCTTACAGGGAGGTGTTGATGATGAACAAGAGTTCCAAAACCATCAGTGTTTTCAAGCTTGCTCTGGAGCTTGGGCTAGAGGACAGACAACATGGTTGTGGCTCAGAAGTAGAGATGATGCATGTATCTTCCTCAGGAGAGGAAGCTGGAGGGGCCTTGTAAGAAGGGCCTGGGGTGTGATCTGCACTGCTGGGACTGAACTATTAAGCTCTTCCCAGCTTCTAGCACCACAGTCCCATTTTGCCACCTGTAGTATTTACTCAGTGTCCCTTTAAAGTTGCTCTCTCTTTTTTTTTTTTTTTTTGAGACAGGGTCTTGTTATCTAGTTTAGGGTGGCTTCAAATTCACTATGTAGCCCAAGGTGGCCTTGAACTCACTGCAGTCCTCCTGCCTCAGCCTCCTGAGTGCTGGGACTATAGGTGTGCGCCACCATGCCCGCTCTCTCTATTTTCGCTTGTTTGTTTCCAGTATTAGGAATGAACTCAGGACCTTGGACTTTCCAGGCAGGTGCGGCGCCACTGAGCTACATTCCCAGCCCTTGTCCACATTTTTAAGTTGCATAAATATATCTATTTTTATTTTTTTGGTACTAGTGATTGAACTCAGCACCTTCACATTGAGCTGCATCCCCAGCCTTTTTTATTTTTTATTTTGAGACAGGGTCTTGCTAAATCACTATGTTGCCCTGCCTGGGCTCAAACTTGTAGTCCTTCTGCCTCAGTTTTCCAGAGTGCTTGGATTACAGGTATGCACCACCACCTCTGGCTCACAAGTATATTTTTATTTTATTTTATTTTTTGGTACTGGGGATTGAACTCGGGACCTTGTGCTTGTGAGGCAGGCGGCGGCACCACTGAGCTAAATCCCTGGCCCTCACAAGAATATTTTTTTAAAAAGTTGAATTGCTACCATCTCTGAAAATCAATATCACATGCCATAGTTTAAGGTAATTACAGAAATATAATACAGGGGCCAGGGATTTAGCTCAGTGGTTTCGCCGCCTGCTGCCTAAGCTCAAGGACCCAAGTTCGATCCCTGGTACCAAAAAAAAGAAAAAGTGCTAACATCAAATAGCACTTCCCTTTCACATGATCAGGAGAATTGAAAGGGAATTGAAAAAGGGAACTTTTTGTAGTATGTCATTTATTTGTCAGACAAATTCCACACTTAGAAAATAGTGATCTAGGGCCGGGGATTTAGCTCAGTGGTTTTGCCACCTGCTGCACAAGTGCAATGACCTAAGTTTGATCCCCGGTACCAAAAGAAAGAAAATAGTGATCTGCTCTGTCCTCTTTACACTTGATCTTAGCCAAAAGCCTGGGAAAGATGTTCTGTCTTCCTCAGTTGTATAGGACCTTAGAGCCACTTGCCAGAGGCAGGGGGAAGGTCAAGAGAGCAGCAGTAGAGGGAGGTTCTCCTAATGCACTTGATGCTCTGTGCTGTCCCTTGTGACTGGGGAGAGGGGCATGCATGGGCAGTGTTTTTCATCAAAATAACAACAGAATTGGGCTGGCGATTTAGCTCAGTGGTTCCGCTGCCTGCCTCACAAGCGCAAGGACCAGAGTTCGATCCCCGGTACCAAAAAAAAGAAGAAGCAAACTTTTTTCACTTTTTACTGTTATCCAGGTTAGTCCTAAGTTCTTGATATAAAGTTATCATTTTATGTTATATTCATAGGAGTTCTGTTGACATGAGGGCTTATAGTGCTACCTTTTTTTTTTTGGTGCTGGGGATCAAACTCCGGTCCTTGTGTGGCAGGTGCCGGAACCACTGAGCTAAATCCCCGGCCCCTGTCGCCTTTTCATTTTAGTCAGTGGGTAGCATCTGTTACATGCCCACTGGGTGTCTCCTCTTACTAGGATATTGCTTGTTCCTCGCAGCTTGTTGACATAGGCACGGCCAGAAGTGAAGAGGCCCTTGCATTTCTTCTTGCTTGGGCCAGGTGGGGACCTCACCCCAGTAGCCCTAAGAGGGCGAAGGGTGAAGAGCAGCTACCTGGATGAGCTCTGGGATGGGCATCCCCGTCCTTACCCCTCTGCACAGTCACTGACGGAAACGGGGCAGGAAAGCATTTGTTTGGATCACAGGTTTCATTTTCCTTTTTTTTTTAATAGGATATATGAGGTATATTTAAAAAATAAATACTCTCTATACCGAACAAGCATGCTTCAAATACAAAATATTTTACACAAAAAAGTAATAACTGACAAACTACCAATATGTTGAACTTAGAAAAAGTACTAAGCTATTTCGTAACTCTTAAAAAAAAAAATGACATTTTTATTATTCAAGCTAACTTACTTCCAAGTTACAAAAGTTACAAAATTTTGGTTTAAAAAATGCTTCTCTATGACTGCCTCGATTTATTTTGCTATGCAATGACAAAAACAAAGTATCTTTGAAATGCTTTGGGTATTTAAATGGATGTTTGTTACATAAATTTATATAAATAACTTTTATATCAGTAACAGGCCAACATATAAACACCCTTTTAGTAGAAACAGGAACCATTAATGATGCAGAATGAAACTTACACTACCTCTCAATTTACATACAGCACAATAAAAAATCTGACCAGGCCAGTGATATTTAAAGAATATGGTTAGTCACGCTCTCCTGGTATTACTGAATATGCTAGTTCTCTCATCAAATGAATAGTACTTCCATTATCTCATATTTTCCTCTATATTCCTTGTCTCCAGGTTGGAATAGCCCTGTGTGGGATATGTAGAAGTGGCCCAGAGCCTGTTGGTCCTATGCTTTTGGTTCGTTCTTCCCAAACAGGTTTCATTTTCTAAGTTAAATTATTTATTTAGATGTTGTTTATTGTAGTTATTTTTAACGTATGTGTATTGGAATTGTACCCAGTTCTTTCACATTATAGGCACACACTCTACTACAGCCCAGGAGCTCTGTAAATTTATGTTAGGGCCGGGGATTTAGCTCAGTGGTTTTGCCGCCTGCTGCACAAGCGCAAGGACCCAAGTTCAATCCTCGGTACCAAAAAAAAAAAATTTATGTTTTAACTGACATATTAAAAATGGTATGTATTGGGCCGGGGATTTAGCTCAGCGGTTTCGCCTCCTGCTGCACAAGCACAAGGACCCAAGTTCTATCTCTGGTACCAAAAAAAAAAAAATGGTACATATTAATGGGGTATGGATGTGATGTTTCAATACATGTATACATTGTATAATGTTTAAACCAGTTTAAACATCTATCTTCCACGGTTATCATTTCTTCATGGTGAAAATATTCAAAATTCTTCTAGCTTTTTGAAGTACACAGTCAGCTAGGCATGGTAGTGCATGTCTGCAGTCCCAGCATTCTGCAAGGCTGAGGCAGGAGGATTACAAATTCAATCTCAGCCAGGACAATTTAGCATGACTCTCTCCTTCAAATAAAAAAGGAAGAGAGGGGGTGGCTAGAGATGTAGCTTAGTGCCAAGGCCTTGGGTTCAATCCCTAGTGCCACCAGAAGGGTACATTGTCTGTAGTCACCCTACTATGCAATAGTATGCCAAAACTTAATTTGTTTGTTTATTTTTGTGATGCTGGGGTTACCCTTGTGCATGCTAGCACTTTAGTGCTAAGCTCCATCCCAGCCCTTTTTGTTTTATTTAAAAATTTTTTTTAGCCCTTTTAATTTTTATCCTGAGGTAGGGTCTCACTAAGTTCCCAGGCTGCCCTCAAAATTGTGATCCTCTTGCCTTAGCCTCCCAAGTAGCTGGGATTATAGCCCCATGCCACCGTGCCTGGTTACACCAGAACTTTTTTTTTCTTTGGTACCGGGGATGGAACTCAGGCCATTGCACTTTCCCGGTAGGCGTGGTGCCAGTGAGCCACATCCCTGGAACCACCCCAGAACTTTCTGCTCCTGTGTAACTGTAAATTAGTGCCCGCCCTTGAGCCTCTCCCCCTACCTCCCCCCACTATTCTCCCCCGGCCTTGGTAACCACCCTTCTGTTTTCCACTTCTGTGAGCCAATCAAAGGTTCTGAAGAGAGTGTTTCGGAAATCGGCAAGATGGTGCAGGTTCCAGCTCAGGGCAGCCACAGAGGAGACTAGAGTGTTTTTCTAGGAAGCTGGAGGCTGCCCTCACCTGACTTCCGGGGAGTGACTGCCCTCTCTGTGCCCTTGATCTTGGAAGTGTGGGACAGCTGAGCCTCGCCTGCCCTGTGCTTGTCAGAAGCCTGCAGCTGTGGCCTTTTCCCCTGTGGCCAGGCAGCTGTGGGTGGGGCATCTCTGGGGCTGTGGAAGAGTTGGCTTCAGTGCCCTTCTGAGAAATTCTGGCTGCCCCTGGTACCACCAGCAGCTCTGACTGCACAGAAACCACAGGGGCCTGACCAAGGCTTGTGAGGCTGGCCGGTTGGAGACTGCTTGTGAGCGCAGGCAGACTCCCTGATGGGTTCTGCCGGGGCAGGCATCTGCTGTGCACGTCAGGCCGGCCAAAGACAGATTTGTGTAAAACTGGCCTCAGTGTCTCAGCTCCATGGTGGAAGCTACACCTCCCTGCGTTGGGAGACCTAGGTCCCACTTCACAAGGGCTGACTTGGTGGTGTGTCCGGCGGCAGCGGGCTTTGGAATTGTTCCGGCCCCCTCTGGGGCTGGAACTGCTGCTTGCCAGCTTCCTGTGGCTACCCCACATGGCTGGTGGAGAGTCTCCTTTTCCCTTCATGTTCCTTGTTGGGCTGTACACCACATGAGTTATTTATTAAAACCCTGGACACAGATTAACTTTTCCACTTATTGTTTAGCATGGCCTCAGTCTCCTGTAGTTGAGAAATGTTAATTTTCTTTCCTCAAAGCTTGGTTTGTAGGAACTTTCTAACACACTCTTTCATCCTCTGG